GAGAGTGGCGCACGCATAGTAGCGGTCATTCACATGCTCCAAGACCTTCTGCTCCAGGGCATCCGCTTTGCTGCTCCCCATGACCTGTGAGCAAGCATCCACTTACATAAACTCATGTGCATGCATGCATGCCCTAATCTACAGCTTTGCTCCAAGTGTGCAGTTTCCTTGACTTAAAGCCGACACCTTTGTTTTAGACTTGCACACCATCTGCTCTGCCTATGCACATAGTGTGCAGCACACCTGCATTATTTTCATAGCCTATCTCATTATTATTATTATTATTAGTACTCGCCTATTCTGCCAAAAGGCAAGGTGCGTCTGCTGATCTGCCTACACAGCAATATAAAGGCTGCCCTTTTCTAGCCCTTCTAGGATTTGCCAGATCCAAGCAAGACCCAACCAATAGCCTATCAGATGACTTGAGGACCTGCCAGGTGTTCAGACCTTGAAATTTTTGATCCTCGTGGGATGGTTGTATGAGATGTGTCAGACATCAAGTATAAGAGCCCTACCTTGAGCAGGCACCATGCAGGACCCATGTAAGCATTGTTTGTCCACGAATTCATTCTGCTGCCATCCAGATAGTATCCTCCCTTCACCTGTCCCGCAGTCATCATATGCTCAGACCACTTCATGACATGCTCATCGCTGTAGACTTAGTACATAAAAATTTTCAAGACTGAGCAACTGAAAAGCTGCATGTTTCCAAAGCATTCAGACCAATGCACAGCAGTAAGCAATGACTCACCTCTCCGGTGCTTACGATTTCGCTTTCGAAGAACTGCTTGAGGGCCTTCATTGCAGGGTAGAGGCCCGCGTCCCTCACTGCCTGCTCTCCATGCGCCTTCCAGAAAGATGCCAGGCGCCAGGGAATCCTGCCCGACACATAAGATTAAGTCGAGATTAGTCATGCTTCACCACACATGTACTCAGGTTTATTGCTGGCTTCGCATGCAAGATTGGGATTGCTCAAGAGAGAGACTATCATGACCGGGTTCCAGAGGTACTGATGGTGGCTTCTCTGCAGACCTTACAGGGCTGCACTTGCTCTCTGCAGGCAATCAGTCACTATCTATAAAGATTCAAATCGCTTGGTCCGAGAACAGAGATATCCCAAACTATAAAGGAATGCAAAGCTGCTCTGAGGCACAGCAGTGTGTCACCCGATAAACACGTGTCTTTCATTATTCTTCTTGACTGAACTCGAGAGCACCTGGCAAGCGCTTGATGTGAGACACGCATTGGAGTTCAGCAGTTTGGCACACCTTGAGGCGTTCGTGAAATAATCTTTGTCGTGCGAGTTTGAAGGGTCGTCTCTGTTATTTTCCAGCACGAATCGTGTGGATGCATTGTAGACCTTGGCTGACTCATCGTACACATAGAAATCCGCTAGCAACCCTGTGGGATGCTGAGTTCGGTTTCGCTCATAAGCCGCCACAGTCTTGTCAAAGGTCGCCTGCCACTTGTCTGCGTGCGCGCTGTCCTCCTGCAATTGAAAGTTTAGTTTGTATCAAGAATTGTAGACGGGGGTAAACCTAGATAGAAACCCTGGCACAGGATACACGCCCAATTCTGGAATCAAAACAGTGGAAACGTGATGCATGCAAGTGTTGAGGAGAAGTATACAGTAGATCAAATGGAAAGAAACACGTGCAGCAGCAATTTGGCAATGGCTCTCATTTTCACGCGGTCTGGCAAGTTCAACCATATTTTGTCAAGTCCTTCTGCCGTAACTCAGCAGTGCCCTCTAGCAATCATGACAACAATGCTCTCCTAGCTATTAACGCACAAGAGATACCCAGGGATACTGAAGCATGACTGTCTGCATTATCATGCAAAGCGCACCTTTTTGAACAGCAGAAAGTGGGCAGGCATCCAATCCGATGATCTCGACAGCACCCGCTTGTCACTCGGCCCTGCCCAGCTGCCCACCATGGGCATGTGACTCTCGCCAGACTTGATGCAGTGCGTCAGCAGCGACTGGCAGATGCTGAGAGCCTGCTGCTTGTAGGACCCGCCACCCCACTTCTTCTCTGTGCATGCAAAAAGTAATTTGCCTGAGCTGTCTTTCAAACCTTTTGTGTCTTCGGAATCTCAAATTGATCATCATCTCAAAGGATGAAGCCGCCCCATGCCAGCCAAGAATCGGACGCGCTTCGGAAAATTAAAGTTTTCAAGCTATGCAATGACCCATGCTGGCAGAGGCTTCTTCTATATGCCAGCCAGCACTGCACGTCATGCATGCAAAAACGAAAGCAATGCACTTTGGTCGGCTCTGTGCAGCTCTACATCTGTCCACAAGCTGAAGGCAAGGCAATTGGCTTGCAAAAAAGGGCTAATCCCAAAGCAGCAGACTTCATGAGGACTTTCAGACCAACCTATTCTAGCGGGCAGTAGAGTTCATCCACTTTGCGTTTTATTTTAACCCTTCATCGACCCTATACCTTTAATCCACCATTTCATTCCCCCATAAAAAAATATTACTGTAAAAGCCCCTTCCTCAAAATCTAAGCCCTGAATTCATACTCCCTAGATCCTAAGCTAAAATGGATGAAGAATAAGGTCGGGGCAGTAATGTCCTGTGTCATGTCAATTGCCAGTCTGATGAGTCATCAGTAATGACTAACCTGCTTTGAACAGGGCATAAGCCACGTCCATGTCGCCATCGGTGGCCGAGTTTCTGTTGCCATCAGGAGCAGTGAAGTTGTCGAGAATCTGCCACTTCATCATCCCGTGTTCTGGATTGATGAAGCTCTGATAGAATTTCAGCAAGCCATCGAATTCAGGCTTCTCGCCGCGGAGCACGCTGATCAACATCCCATACCTGCGCACATCATTCCTTTGCAGCTCCTGTCTTCTTAAATGGAGGAGATATGCTGTGCCTTCACTTCTTGACAGATGCCACTTTATACTGAAATAGGGTTGCCTTATTCTGCAAGGCCCTGGCTGGTGAGGGGCAGTATAATGACTGAGCACCGTAATTGGGTCTTACTTGGATCTTGCGAGCCAGCACGGGGTAGGATTGTGGCAACCTTCACCAGCTTGTCTGCAGGAGATACCTTGCCTTTCGGCAGAGAAGCGTGCAATAATAATAAAAATCTTAATAATATCTCAGTCCCTGGTCTTGCTCCCCACAACACTGCTGTGCCCTGCCCTTACAGAATTATCTGCTTCCTTTCATGGTGCAGTTTTAGAACACTTGTATTTTAAACATTTACCGGTGTTATGACAATACTTCAAGTCCGCAGGACCTGATAGGACCAGAGGGACCTGTAGTGCTGCTTTCCAGTCTTCTCTGTTGTGTTTAGGGACAAGCAGAAGCTTGCTGCACATCTGGAAAGCTTTGCTCAGGCGAGTCTGCTTACCCAATGGCCTCCGAGGTTGTGACAGCGTTGGGGGGCCATGAATCGCCAGCAAGATTGTACTTGACATACTTGCTACCGTCGCTCCTTGTGGCAAGATACTTGTTCTTCCAGTTCCTGTGAAGCTCGTCAACAGACACCTGTGCATGCATCATTATAATTCGTATAAATAATAATATTCCCCCAGTCAGAGGCAATGTGCATATGCAGACAAGCTGCCGGTGACCACTTCAAATTCTTGCCCCCCGTTGGACTTGCAAGATCCAAGCAAGACCCAGTCAACCGTGGGCAGGGTGCTTAGTATTCGCAGCGCCCCCGCCAGCCGGGGCCATTTGTGCATGCATGCGGCATTACAGTGACACAGCAGGGCAGCGCTGGTGGGGAAAAGCGACAAGCTGATTGCAACATATGAAGACTGCTCTATAAAGGCTGCTTGAGCTCAATTATCAGCACTGCACAAGCATCAGCTTCAAGTAAATCACCTGTTGGCGCCTGTCTTGGCACCTGCGACAGGTAGCAGCGTGTCAGGTATACAGAAAAGGCATGCGTATAAAGGGATTCGAGACCTTCCAATCACCGGATTGAAGCTATGTACCTCACAACTGAATGGCGTCGCGCCTGAGAAGGTCTTGGCTGCGGCTGAACAGCCATCCTGACAAAATGATTTGACATTTTCAAGCTGATGGACAGAGCCATTGCAGGAGCGACGATCTGCAGACAACATACGTGTTTTGCTTGGTTTATTGGTCCTTAGTGCAAGCATGCTGAAAGCGAGATGAGCACTGCAATGAGTCTCGGTGAGCGCAAACATGTCCAGAAATAATACAAGGCTGTTGGCTCATTGCAATGTGATTCTTTACACATTCGAATGTTCGTAAGCGGGAAGTGTCGGCGCTGTCTCTATATGGCTCGGGACTTGCAAAGCATGTTCCGGAAGAACCCAGATCGTTTTCGTTTGGAATCAGCTATCTCGCCAAAGGTGCTCTCTGTTCGCGCGCACCTCAATAGGAGACTTCTTGGCAGATCAATGGTGCCTTAAGCGGTTGCCTTCAGAAATCTGCAGGTCAGAATTCTCGTGTAACCGGTCAGGTCCCAGCACGTTTTAGGCCTATTGAGGCAAGCGCTGGGCTATTCTCATGTCATCTTCGGAGTTCCTTGGATGACATGAGAGTGCCCGACGCGATGCAGGGTCCACACCCACTTTGTTATAGGCCTTTGATTACCTTGCATCATAAATATCTCAAAAGACATGTATTCCCTTTGAGCTGCTTCCATAGGCCTCGCCGTGGATGCCACGCGAACCCGGTCAGCTCCGGGGCTTAATCAGAAATATCGGGCACAGAAGGAACCATTGAAGGTCATAAGTGTGCATCACTGCCAAAAATGACGTTGTCCGGGAATATCGCGTTTCTTAAAAAGATGATTTTTGCACCGATGATCTGGCTCGGAGCGATCCTCATGCTGTCAGTTAAGTTCATACGGAAGTAAGACCCGCATTTCTCGCAATTTACAAGGCTTTCGTGTCGTTTAATCTTTACTAAAGTGGTATTTGTGCCCTGCAGTCCTAAAGGGTTCCTGCATAAGACTGATTGGCCGGAGGAACTCTTGAATCTGCCACCCTACCCGTTTTAAGACATGACGCACAGGCAGCTGGGTGTCAACGGCATCAAGTATGCAAATTCTGAAAAATTCCAGTGTATCTCTGAGCAATTCATTACGGCGCTCGATACGCTGACTTCAAAGGCTGGATGCAGGGTGCATACGGTGACAACAGGTAGTGCTGACAAGCCGCTCATGCTGCTGCTGCACGGCTCTCCTGAGCTGTGGGGAATGAGGGAGCATCAGCTGAGCCATTTCAGAGAGGACAACAACGTGGCCGCTATCGACATGAGGGGCTACGGAGAAAGCTCTCGCCCCGGAGTGCGCATCCTTTTTGCACTCGCAAGCTTGTGCTTCTCTCTTTCATACGACAAACCCAAAGAGCAATCAGGAAAATGGATTTGTTATATGTCATTTTTATGCAGGATCCCAGAGACTACTATATCGATCGCCTTGTCCAAGATGTGGTGGATGTGGTGCATGAACTCGGCTACAAGACGTGCGTCCTCGTCGGCCACGACTGGTGCGCACTGCATCTGCTCAACGAAAAGTGCCAAACTCACATAATAGATGGCCACTGCTCAAGATCAATTGCAGCCTTGCACCATGTTCATTAAACCCGCTCCTCCTATCCCACTTGCCATCAGGGCATCTCACGAGCAACTTGCTTGAAGGCAGTGTTGCGGCAAGCCAAATAAAAACAGCAGTCTTTGCTCGGAGTGAACATGGACTTGCCTTTAACGAAATAATCAGTTTAATCCAGGCTGCATAAGGCTGCATAAGGCGGCAGCTCCATTTTGGATGGCACCATACCACCAGGCTGACCACACACAGCTGCTTGAGGCTGCACAGGTTGAGGACTAGGTCCCGCGACTGATCAGGCGTGGTCCCATGCATAATGTACAGGGTCTCCAAGCCTGGAGAGTTCCGCCACTGCCAACCGCGCACAGATGCGACAACCCTGCAGGGTCCCTGAAGGGATTGGCCTATCTGGTCCAGGGTTAGGGGCAAGGTTTCAGGGCGGACCCGGGAAATTTTAAGATTTGAAGAGGTGGCGTCAGGGCAACGCCCTGACGCTAATTTGCCATGATCTCAGGGCAGCCCTGAGATTTTTGATGGTGTGCTGGGCCTATTAGGGGTTGCATCACAACAACTCAGGCATGTCGCACGCACGTTTCAATGCAGAAAAGATCAAGATGGCTGTACGGTGCCAAAGCTGGCCCTGCCCTCGTGGTAGATGAGTCAGATGCCATTTTTGTATTCCATATATATATGTATTTCATTGTATTTTTGTTGCACTTAAGGAATTTGATCTCGGCTCGGGGCTGCCCTGACATATTTGCAAAACTGAGAGAACAGGCATGGGCTCCGCCCCTGCCTGTTCAAAGTCAGGTTCAGTGTCACCCTTTGATGTTGGTGACCCCCTTTCAAACCCTGCGCTGCGCGGCTGTGAGCAAGCCTTGACTAGCAACAATTGCTGCAGAATTTGCAATGGCGACAGGGTGAACACGGACAGTTTTGGGATTATGACATGAAGCGCACTGAGGTTGTGGGCGTGCTCTGCCAGCCAGCTGATGGAGCAAGGCGCCACTGCTGAGATCTGCTTGCCCTTGCCTCGAGGCTTGAGGTGTGTAAGTCTTGCGCTGCAAGAACCCCAGCTGCATCAACGCAGAAGGGCAGGCCATGTGCTCATGATTGCTTGAGTAATCTCGCTGCCTAGTGGGGTACAATGGCGCAGGTGCATGGTTTGAGTGTGCGCCCACTTTGCTGCAATCCGCAACCACCCTGCATACATGTGAGTTCCCTGTCAGTCATGGACACTGGATTTCTAGGGCCTTGAAGCACACTGTCCAGGGTGCCTCCAGTCTTGCAAGGCTGCTTCATTGGATGAGGCGCAGCATATGTGCCTATCCCACGCTTTGAAATCTTGCTAATGAGTAGTGCTTTAAGTCACCTTTGTATTGTCCTTTCGGACCTCACCTGCCAAGCCCAAGAAACAGCCGATCCAGGAGCTCCATGCTAGTAGAGGAGTATTCATCTGTGCCACGTCCGCCCCACCCCAGCTGCAGATGCGTCAGTGCAGAGGCAGGCTGCTGAATCTCCTAGAGCAAACTCCGTGCGTCCTGTACTGTACAACTGTAGACGCAGGAGCTGCGTGTAGCGCCATCGTTTCACCGACCATCTTGCCCTGAGGTCACACAAAGATTGGAGTCATCATTGCAGGCTGATGCCGATGCTGTATCCCTTGTGTGCAACTGTGTTTTGCTTTGACAGTGCTGGTTGATGGTACGATATCAACCTCTTTGTATGCATTGGGGCGCCTGCAGCTGCTCACTAAAGAGCCAAAAGTAGTAGCCTGTTCTTTCTCGGATCGTCAGGATAAGGAGCTGCAGCTTCCAGGTCGTCCTGCAAAATTTCGATGCCCTTTCCCAGTCTCACAAGCTCATATGGAAAGCGACTTTCTGTCAGATCTCATCTGGGAGGCTCACTTCCGCTTTGAGAGGACGCCCATCCTGCGTGATGGCATCGTCAACAGAGCGCAGGATTCACTGCATAGCATAAAAGAAATCAAAATCTTTTCTCTTTTGGATAGTTGTCGAATATCACCATATCCAACCGCTCAGTCTCTGGCACTTCTGCACTTCCTACGGGGCAATCTGCAAAGTGTACGTCTTAAACAAACAGAACGCATAGCCAGGAACGGCCACCAAGCGGCATTGCCAAGCGAGGCCATCTTCCGAATTTCTGGAAGATGATTACAAATGAAAGGTCTGGAAGACAATTACGTTGCAGGCGCTTGACCAGAAAACATTCTGCTGCCAGAGATGCCTGTCGAAAATGACTAATGCACCAAACATTGGATGGGTCAAACACACAATGCTGGCTTGACAGAGCACGAAGTGATATCCAATAGAATTCTAAATCTCATCTTTGATCCACAAATACACCAAACTGGGTAAATGAGCCCAACAAGATTTTGATGTCGAGCCACGAGGTAAGGAGCAAGGCACCATCAGCGTCTACTTTGAACAGTAAGTGCTGCACCAAACCCTTTCCGCACATGCGAGCAATATCTAATATATTTTGACGTTTTGCATATCTAAAGAGCATGAAAAATGTGCAGGACGAGCCTCCTCCTAATGTGAGTCTCCCAGAGGAGATCTGGCAGAACGTGGCCTCCCGTCTCAGCTTGCGGGATTGGGCCAGGGCATCCGGAGTATGCAGAACCACCTGGAAACTTCAACTGGTCGATGTGGCCGTCACGGATCACGACAATCTGGCCGTGTCAGGTCAGGAGCAGCTTGCACAAAAGAACCAGAAATATTCGACATCTTGTGCGGATTCGACTTCTCGCGTTGTGCTGTAGTGCAGATCTAATATAAAAACGCTTCTTCGACGATGCTAAACACGCCACTTCTATTGACAAGCCACTGAAAGGGTCATGAACCTGCTCCCAGGCGCACTGTGGCTAGCTGCAAGATGGCGCTACACCCAAAATATGTTGCTGCAGCTGCGGTCACCAGCAGGGAGGGTGGTTGCAACGACACTGATGGCCGCTCAGAACACGTCCAGCAATGTATCCCAGCTGGTGCTGGCGCTGGATTGGGTTCAGCTGCTGCAAGAAGATGAGGGCCATGCGGATGGCACTCAGCTGCTGAGCTACTTGGCTGCGGCTGCAGAGCGCCTGCGCGTGCTTGATGTGTTTATATTGTGTATCCCAGCGCTGCCATCGCTGCCGAATCTGCAGCACTTGATTCTGACAGATTTGGCTCTCCTGTGTGATGATGTTGTGGCAATCTTGCCACGCCTCTCAAGCTTGCAGACTCTGCGCTTGTACTCTGACCAGCCAGATCTCCCCCAGGATGAAGCGGATCAGCTGGAAATGGACCTCGCTTGCCTCAAGTATCTGCGCAGAGTCAGCTTGATCGGACTAGTGATCGGCAGGCTTTCCTTGCCGCCCAGCGCAGAGCTGCATCTCAGTGGGCTAGGAGAATGGGCGTACTGCCCTGTTTGGCAGACAGTGCTGCCAGCGCTGCGCACCTTCCGGTGGAGTGCATTTTATATGAAGTTCGGACTGCCACCCGTGCTGCAGCCATCAAATACACTCAGTAGAGTGGTGCTTGACGTGTACAGGTTTGCGCCGCAGCAAGCCGCCCTGCGCAGTGCTTTTTCCCCGTTCACCAGTGTCCTCATTGCATGCGAGACTGGAATCATTGACCTGTCAGGCGGCAGGTGGCGCCACCTGTCAGTAATTGCCCGGGGCCGTCTGATGCTTCTTGGGCCCAAGAAAGGCCCGCTTCAGTGCCCGGACATTTACCTTGAGTTCAAAACTCTGGAGGGATCGGGCTCGGCTGCTATTTCTGAGAGCAGCGGGCGTGCGTCGTTTGATGATGGCAGGCAGTGCATGTGGAAGGGAAGCCGTCCGCGCTCTTTGCCTTTTGACTGCTCCTGCGGTGCTTGCGGCCACTGCCTGAGCACGTCTGGAGAGATGCACACTTTCAAGAGCTTACGTGTGGGTGACAGGTGTAACCCCTGGTGAACATTTGGAAGGAGGTGCTGTGAGAGTGACTTGTTATGTCACCGGTGTGAATAAGGTGATTGGACACTGAAGAGCTAGCTGAGGCAGCTTAGCTTAGCTGACTACATGGGGCTTGTCGGCCTGCTTTGTACTCAGATTTGCACCGTCCACGTCAACAAATTCTATGCTCTGGAAGCTGAAGTATATCAAAGATATGGTATGGCTGAAGCTGATTGAGCCCTTGTGTTCCAGTGGGAGGGGAATCTTCGTTGTCGGTATACTGCCCTGATGCTATTAAGATAGATATTTATTATGGAGGTGAAATGACAAACAGAGCAGTATTATATTGTTGTTACTTTTAAGAGACCTGTTCTGAGCCACCTGAGGCTCATCGGTCTTGTGGGCAGTCACTATGTATTGTAGCACAATATTCACCTGCACCAAAGGTGAAATTGCAGGTGTCCTGTGCTGCATGATGCTGTAACAAGGCATTGGATGCAAAGCAGGCCCTTCACGCTCACTTGTCTTGAAGCTTTGCGATCAATAGGCACGTCACGTGCCTATTGATCGCCACGGTGGCATGTATAATCAACGCAGTGGAAGTCAATGCAAACACCCTCACACAAACACCCGCAGGCAATCTGAACTGTGGATATTGTTTGACCCATGGGGTAACTAAAGAAGACCAGAAGATGTTTGTCCCGGCGTACTGTTGACATCACTTGACATGCTGTCTTCTGGGTTCCCAAGTCAGCAACCAGTCAAAGATCCATCTTGGCCAAAACTGAGACCAGGCTGGCAGGTATCACATATTCTTTCAGAGACTTCATCGACCATTATCTCTGTTCAACTGGACTCGTGCCTGTTGACATACTTGCAAAGATATGGACTACCGGCCAGAGATCACTTGGAAGCCACCGGGGCATTGATTTTGGGCCCATGCAAAATTTTTGGGGCTCCAGACAGAATTTGACCCCCAGCAATCACCCCACGGATATGCAGGATCAACGTGTGCGGTGTCCACCACTACCCAAGTCCACTGATTTTGGGGAACAGCATAGAACTTCATTGCGTTCACTTGTTTGCCGACGAGGTAACAGTTCTTATCTGAAGTCCAGGTCACCATCGTGCACTTGTTCGCGCCGGAGCCTCCGTTGTCTTGCATGCATTTTGCTTTGCACTCGTCGGGCGTCTGTGCAACGAAGACCGTGTAGTGATCCCCGCCGGTGCACTTGTTCAGGGCGTTGCCTTTTCCCGGGGGACCCGGGGGACCCCCCGCCCAGAGGTAGCACATTTTTCGTGCTGTGGGGACAACAGGCGGTGGCGGTGGCGGCGGCTGCAAATGCACAGTCTCATTGTTAGAGTAGATAAACTCCTGCTGCAACAGTGACGAGTCCATCAAGGGGTGCATTATGGCAGCCTTTAGCCACAGCTTATCTGCTAAGCTGCAATAAGCTGCACCTTGCCTCTTGGCAGGCAATAGCAATAGCAATAGCAATAGCAATAGCAATAGCAATAGCAATAGCAATAGCAATAGCAATAGCAATAGCAATAGCAATAGCAATAGCAATAGCAATAGCAATAGCAATAGCAATAGCAATAGCAATAGCAATAGCAATAGCAATAGCAATGCAGCAGTCCATGAAATCCAGTGAAGCACATATCTGACATCAAGTCAAGTTGATTAGGTAATCTACCGGCGGCGGAGGCGGCGGCGGCGGAGGAGGCGCAAGTGGGCATGTGAAAGCCACTGTATAATCGGCGAAAGAAGGTCCCGTGTCTCTCTGCAACCCAGAATGATCACAATCGGTGTCTCTTTTAGTGGCTTTTAACAAATTGAAGGGGGATTTGTGGCCTTTGACAGGCTTTTGGATGTCCGCCTGGAAGCCACAAGTCGGCTTTAAGAAAATAAAATTTCACAGGCTAAAGCCACATTCTGCCGTTGTGACCTGGAATGCCCTGAAAGATCACCTGGTTGTTCAAAGACATGTTCAGAGCCACACTGGCTTTCAGCCAAGCTTCTTAGAAGGAAAGGCTGATGCAAATGTTGGCGCATGCTTCTAAAATCTTCATGCGTTATGTTTGCCTCAGTCAATCGTCTCTTTTTACACAGACCTAGAAACTTGATGCACAGCTGGGGGCTTACTAAGCTTCGTAAGCTCTTGTGCTGTTGACCATGTCGCAATGCTTCTCAAACCAGGCCTAGGAGCAAGCCAAAAAATTGTGAGATTTCTCGCAAAAGTAAGGAGCAAGGTCCTCACCTGATCCCAGCCAAAGCAACCAGGTGCTCCGGGCGCGCAGCTCGCATGTTGCAAAGTCCAGTAAGATGCTGAGCCCCACGTCAAGCCATTGCTTGAAAAGGCGGTGTAATATATGATCCTGCGGATCACAGAAGGTCGCTTTTGTTTTGAATGTACCTGGTCGCGGTTGGCAGGTTCTATATAGTGTGGGAAAGCCACAGCGACCAATTGCATAACAAAGTATTGAGACTCTGGCATTCTCGCCGGCACAAGACCAAAATCCCATGTGGAAATAGCTATGTGGGCGAATCACCTGTTCTTGGACTTCCCAACATATGCTGAACCATCACGCGGCAGGACCGACCAGCCCGAAATACACCAGATTCCAGATGGGTCAGACGCATCAGAAAAGGTTGTGAAACAGCTGTTGGGTGGAAGCGATGCAGAGTCAGGGTACTTTATCAGGGTTGCCACACTGATTGTCCCAAGCTGGCTGCACGAATTCTTCAAAATGATTCTCGTTGAGCCTGCACCAAATCAGATTGCTTACCCCTTATTCTTTCATCTGTTGCATGCACATCATATACCATATACCAGAAATGCAATAATAATACTAATAATAATGATAATGATAATGATAATGATAATGATAATGATAATGATAATGATAATGATAATGATAATGATAATGATAATGATGATCATAATGATAATGATAATAATAATAATGGTAATAATAACACAAATGCCCTTCATGCAAGTATTTTAGTTTACTGATAATGATAATAATAATAATAATAATAATAATAATAATAATAATAATAATAATAATAATAATAATAATAATAATAGCAATGGCAATAATAATTTACCAGTGATGGAAATTCCACAATAGTCAGCCTGCGAATTGGGAGTATCAAAATTAGGAGCTTACTCTTGGGAAGTTGTGAGTCAGGCTGCCCTGGAGGGATGGTGCTGTCTTGGCCGGTCTGCAGGGCACTGAACAAATTGCGGGAGCCCAACTTAAGGAGGGGTCCGACCCTCCAGCCAAATGCCCATCGGCTGTAGCCCTCACTGGGCAAGACGAGGCCGGCAATGTCATTGGTGCACTTCACATAAAAGAACCAGAGCTTGATGCCAAGCTTTGACAGGTCAAGGCTGGCTTTGCCATCTGGCTACAGACATCACAGTGCACGTGAGTTTCTGCACGTTGAAACGATCATGATCATGACAGAGCCTTGTCGATGCGAGAATTAGAAATTGTGCGCCAATCTGACAATACTTAACAGTGCAACTTACCACGCGGCCGCTTAGTAGGTCATCAAATAACTTAGTATAGACATCTGTGGCTTGTTTGTACAGCTGCAAAGGCCATACAGCTACTTAGGCAGCATTGAAACTTGCGCCGATGATGATTCTACTAGGTACGCAAATTTCCAGGGTGCTAAAGAAAGTTGAAAAGCATGCAAGCAAACGCATTGTACTGCTTCGCTGTATCAGTGGGTACACAATAGGCTAGTGTGTTGAAAGTCAGGAGCATCATGGGTTACCTCATCCTGCACATCTTGCAGTGCTGTGTTGATTGCTTCCTCAAGGCCTGCCAGTTGCTTCTTCAGCTCAGCTTGCAGTTTTGCTGCAGCAATTGGTGCTGATGCTGGGAAAAACAGACCTACAAGAGTGCCAGCTGCTGCTGAGTCCCAAATGCGCGGCCCATAATACGCCTGCCAAAGCGGATCCCCTGGAAAAATGGCAGCCGGTCAGTATAATTGGCATCAGCAATACCAGTCTTTTGGAGTGCAATCCTGCAGATTTGTGTAGCAGAAAGTAGTGCAGGCAGATATGTGCCGCACCTGCTTGAAATTTGATTTTGGAATCCTCAGTTTTACACATCTGAATGTCTAGTTTGGGAAGATATGACCGGATCTTGGTTGTGGCACACCCATAGACGTCTGCAATGCAGGCATCTGCTTGCTGAACGTAATCAGGAGCGTTCTTGATTATTTCGACTATGTTCGGAATGTCTTTGAATTGTTGTCCTGCGTCCTTGACAAATTGAGGGGTCTTCGGGGCTACTTTTCTTACTGTTTCGCTAATAGTGCCACCTATTTCACCTAGATCAACTAGGCCCAACGAGCTTGAGCCCTGGTCCCCGTCGCATCCCGAATCGAGTCTGCAAGTGCAAGTGCTTCCCCAGAACCCCGTTTCGCAACTTTCCTTCTGGCATTCTCCGCAGCCGCTAACTCCTGATAACAGCGCGCTCAGAAGCAAGATGAGGACCGTCAGAGCCGCTATATTTCTGAGGGACATGCTGTCAAGACCTTTCAGACTGTCGCAGACATAATGAAGATGTATGTACTCATCGGTTGTCCGCTCCAATAAGAACTGTGCCTGTGCAGTACCCCGGCGATCAAAGTAGTTTCTACGTGAGGGTGACATCCGATCTGGGCATGGTGATACCGGCAATGTTGGTTGTATCATGCTGAAATGCCATAGATGATTTTTAATATTTCCTCAAATACGCCAAATAACCTTTCAAAAAGTCTATTACCACTCGCTGCAAGCAATGTGCAGTGTCGTGAACCTCATGTAACCCATCCCTGATCCGTTCTCATGGAGTTCACCAAGACATTCAATGCGCCCGCAAGCGTTGATAGATTGAACAAATTGATCGATTACAGGTACGTATCTAGATACTCAGCATCCCTTACCTCCAGATCTTCATCTGCAAAGTCTTGCTGCCAGCCAGGTTCCTCCTCGTTGTGATCTTCTGGCACCACGTGCGTTCATCAAACAATCGGAAGTACCAAATCGTTTGTGTAGCGATCTCACTTTGTCTTAGCCGTGAACAAAAAGGTTGTTTGCAAGGCTCCTGACGTCGCAGGAAGAAATGTGGAACGCAACCCTAACTAGCTGGTTTTGCCGGGACGAGGGTTGGCAGCTGTGACTCATCAGTCGGCAGCGGTGAGTATGTTAAGATCAAGAGGAGCATTCAGAGAAGGTTGTAACATCTGCAGCACTTGCATCGCCCAATTGATGTTGCTGTCTTGAAATGCCAGTCCTAGCGCTGACATGCATATGCTCCTGAATCCGCCCCATGGGTCCAGGTTTGACCCTCGCTTACTAAATGATTAAACATCAGTAATTGAGTACTATTTCAGAATGTCTGATAATCCATTCAAGCATTCTTCGCACTATACACAGATGCACCTTAGAGAAGGCAACCCCTCAGGTTCCAAGGAGAAATCTTCAAAGGACAGTTTTCAATGCATGGGGCAAAACCCTGCATTGTATCTTATCCTGCGGGGTTAGGACTACAACCACAGCATATGCATTGCGCAATTGAATCTTGACTGCGCTTGTACCTACATTCCTGTACCAGAGAGACAGCAGAACGCGACACATCTCAGCACAACATGAGGAGTCAACTGGAGCAATCGCTAAAACTGCCTCTGATATTGTGTTTGCATTATCCATGTCCAAAGGCTTGGCCGTCACACTCCTGCTCAAACAATGGCCCAAACAAACTCCTGCTTCAATGGCCAGCGCCAGATCAGGCGTTGACATTGGATGCCTGGTTGTCCCAGAGCTGCTTGTAGCGGCCGCCCGCTCGCAGCAGCTGAGAATGACTCCCAGATTCCACCACTCGACCGTTCTCCAAGTACACTATCTGCACAGCAGCGCTGCTTGTTGGCGTCTCCTCACACAAGAGATTTGTTGGACTGGGGATTGAGCCAAGTTTCTTAGAAGAGGTGTAATAATCAGTATATTCAGGATCACCCTGGGCCGGTGCAGCTGCCACCGAGAGCAGAAAAAAAGCATGCAGAATTAAGACTCACAAAATAAGTTTTAGCAAGGACCCCTTGCGAGGTTTTAGGATGCCCTCATGATAGAAGTGGCACTGCCCTGTCACCCTTTGCATGTTCCCACTGGCGTCCACTCACTAGCGGACCCTAGCCCATGAACAAAGACTGCACAAACCCACACCTGAGGGAATTCAATCGATACACAGCACCCCTGCGATCTATACGAACAAGTCTTTCTTTTAGTAGAGAGAGTGGCCCCGGCTGGTGTGGGGCGGTACAAACACTGAGCACCGTGCCCACGGTTGACTGGGTCTTGCTTGGATCCGGCGAGTCCAACAAGGGGTAAAATAGTGGCAGCCCTTAACTGCAGCTTGTCTGCAGGACGCACCTTGCCTCTTGGCCAGAAAAGCGTGTAATGATTATAATAATGATAGTGAGAGTTTGCAAACAGTAAATTACCTGGTCGCACTGGGCGGCGGTTGTGAGCCGATGCGCGACAAAGAGCGTGGTCCGGCCGCGGCCGAGGCTTTGCAGAGCAGCCAGGATGGACTGCTCTGTTCCGCTGTCTAACGCGGAGGTCGCCTCGTCAAACAAAAGAATGCGGGGATTTTTCAGTATCGTGCGCGCGAGCGCCACCCGCTGTTTCTCCCCGCCGCTCAGCATGAGGCCCCGCTCCCCCACTACCGTTTCATAGCCGTCGGGCATCGCCAGAATCTGTGCGTGCATCAAATCCAGGTGTCAGTACTGGTGCCCTTAAAAAATGAAAAGTCAGGGACAGCCGAAAGATCAGGCACAGCCGGATCAGGATTGAGAGTGGCTCAAAAAGCAGGATTTGCGGCCGCAACGAAGGGGAATCTTCATTCCCCTTTGTTGGGCAAGGGGAAATAATCCCCTTGCCTTGCCTTAATGCCCCTTGAATCTCAATCCATTTGGATGAAAAGTAAGATAGCTCTGAGAACTAATAGGCAGGTTGGGCATGCGCGTAAGGATTCCCATCAGAGGGTCAGTAGACGTGGCTAGCAAGCAGCACCATGCTTATCAATGGCTACTGTAACAGCAGCCCCAGGCTTGAGAGTATACATGTGTCTTCAGCACCATCATTCTTCATACTGAACAGTACAGGGTCACCGCATGCGATAATGCGATAAAAAATAGAATGCGAGCATTTTTTAGCACTTTATTTCTGGCCAGTACAATGCGAAAAAATACGATGCGTTGAAATGTTGCTTTTATGGGGCCTTTAGAGTCCCTTTCAGAAATCACTCCCAGTGCACACTCAATTTTGGTTTCAAATAAGATCACAACAAAATTTTTACTTTGGGTTTTGGGGATAAACCTATCTTTACGTGGCTATACCTATGTTTTGCCCGATAAAACAGTGACAAATTTGTTCCTGAGGCATTTAATCGCATTGTTAAAGTATTTATTCCCGCCAATAATGCTAGTATTTTGTCGCTTTATATTTAGAGAATGATCGCATGGGGTGACCCTGGCACAGTATATCAGTTTCTTAGAAGGCCTGCATGGCCAGCTCGTCCACAATCAAACTCGCCTGCCGTACACACGGCAACCGTGGACACAAATCTTGGCACTGGCTTGAGAAGGTTGAACACGAGAGAGGCAAGGCAAGGCACACCTGGTCGTGGATGGCAGCTTGGCGCGCGGCCGCATAGACCTCCTCGGCCGGTGCATCGAGTCTGCCATAGGCGATGTTGTAGAAAATGGTCTCGTTGAAGAGCACCATGTCCTGAGGCACCTCGCCGATCTTTGCTCGCAGACTCGCCAACCTGTATGCGTCCAGCGGCCGGTCTGCGCGCATGTCCATCATGACATAAAATCTCACAATTGAACAATGAGCGTTGAAGCAGCGGAGATTTCCCAAAGCCATGTGTTACTTGCGAATGTTTCAAAGCTGGCCTCTGCGCGAGCTTCTCACTCTAGACAGTCAAAGTAAATGTCCTCCGTAAAGCCAAAGGCACGTTCTTTGGTCAAGAGACAAGAGAAGGACATGCAGACAGCACAACTGAGCTTAAATCCTTGTACGCATGCATGCGGTGCCAGATCAGGCATGGCCAAACTCTGGACTGTCATGTCAGCCTGGTCATCTATAGGCTAGCGGGCATGCACACCCATGCAGGATGAACCGAGTGTTTAGGATAAACCCTAGATTTCAACCCTAAAATATAAACTCTATATCTTAAATATAAACCCTACAAAATATATAAGCACGCGCCGGCCCTAGGTGCCCATTGCAGACCGCAAATGCCTTGAGGGAGCTCTGCAAGTGCCTTCAAAGCGAGGCAAAGGCTATACGCAGTCAAAGCACATCTGCAGTCTACATGAGATGTCAGGCGTGCGCACCTGCAAGCATGAGGGTGCCGGCGTCTGGCTCATAGAATCGGTACAGCAGGCGTAAAATCGTGGATTTTCCGCTGCCGCTGGTTCCCACCACCGCGCAACTCGTGCCCGCCGGTACCTGCAGCGACAAGCCCTGCGCATGCAAATTCAAATTCTAAAATTGAATTCAGGCCATGAACCTGTTCGAGGTAGCTCACTTTGTCCCAGAGAAGCCTGTGTACGAGCAAGGTCTGGAATTCCACATTATTCTGATAAGCCTCACCTTGCCATGCACAGATCACCACAAGGCAGTGCAGCCTGCCGTATCTTGGAAGTTGGAAGTACAACAGACACTGCGGTGCACCATAAGGGACCGGCAGCCAGCTGATGCTCAGAGCTGCACTTTCTTGATCTCCTAGTCTACAAGGGGCTGAAAAATACAGTTGTGCACCCCTTCTAACTTCATGCACGCGTAGCGTCCATAGTAAGCTGGCTCAGTGCTGCTCAGATTCTACCCGATATTAGATACATGTTGTACTGCTTGAGGAGGAGTCGAGGGATATTCACCTGCAGAATGGGCTGGTCTGCCCTGTAGCCAAAGGTGACATCCTTCAGCTCGATGTCATACCCGCTTTCAGAGTCCTCCAATTCCACAGCCTCAGGCCTGTCCGTTATCTGCACAGAAAAGAGCGCATGCATAAACTTAAAACGGTGTGGCTGTGTATTGCTAATAATCTTCATATCGGTGCCAGCTCCACAGCGGACAGAATGCTTGACAGCCGTGCAGTGCCATCCATTCAATTACAGCATGTGTCTGGAGCAAGGGAGCATAATCAGCATGGTTGCTAGGATGCTGAACAGGAGCCCTTGCATGAAAGATCCCAACAAAGCGCTGCACAATGATCACGGCAAGCACATCGTGTGCCTACAAGGGAAACTAGCAAGGGAAAATGACCAGCTCGGCTACTGATTAGGTTTTCCCTTGCAGCCATTTCAACGCCATTTAACTCGAGGGAGGGAAAAAAATCCTAGAAATTGCAGAGAGGACACACCTGGGATCTCTGCTGTAGTAAGCCAAACAGCGCGCCCATGTCGATGAGCGACTGCTGCGTCTCGCGGTAGACCGACCCCAGGAAATTCAGCGGCATCGACACCTGCGCAGCAACTTCAAATTCAAATTCAAATCCAAGTTCAAATCTAAACTCAAATATGAATTCAGGTTTCCAGGGCTGACTGCCTCTAGCACTGCAGACAGCACCCCAATTACAGCATCCCTGAAAATGCAGTTGATCATCTTCACCATCATGGCCTATCCCTGTCCCTTTAGTCCTTTCCTTGAGCCTATCCCGCAGGCCAGGTGGTGCAATCGTTTTCTGTTCCTGCAAATGATGTTAAAATGAAAGTAAAGCTTCCTTTCCTGGTGTGTCCCTCAGAATTTGAGAACGCGCAATCTGCTTGCGCGCACACAATCAAGCTGATGCGACGCATTGAAGAGCAGGACAGAAGCCCGCAGACCAACGAGGGCTGTGGCCGCCGGTACCAAGGGATGGTGACTCAGCTGCACGGCGGCCTCACCACCATGCACAGGTAAGCCACCAGAGTCTTGGCACTGGCGCTACAGCCCTGGGCGACCTCTTGGCTGCTTTATGGTTCCGCATTGCGGAACCACTCACTGCTATGATGCCACACCCTAATGAATAAAAAGGGAGCAGAAGCAGACTGTTGGGCTGTGTCCAGATCGTGACATGGCCATGAGCTCAAGGTGGAGGTGCAGCAGGGGCCTTCTCTAGAGGCACCAGCACAGCACCATTGCAGCAGCAGTAGCGAGACACACCCCGCGACAGCACATATGACTTTGGATTTTGAGGCGGCACGGCACGCAGATGCCCCAAAGGGGCGCACCTGGGTGCTCACGAACGCGGAGCATGAGCTGTCCTGTGCAGCTAAGTGCAATGCATAAGGGCAAGCGTTGCGGCGCATAGACTAGAGCCGCGGCAATGGGTGTGACGCCGGGAGCGCCACCGGAATTCTCGATGGACACTCACGGATATCAACCTGGGCTGGCCTACAAAGAGTGACAACTCCTTGAGCCATGTGCTTGTATGCTGGCTGATGTGCCAGCTGGCATGTCAGGGGTGCTTTTTGAAAGCCAAGTCATTTTTATGTAGTCAAGGTTGATCTACTTTCTTTGCGGAGACTGTCAGTATACCGCATCCTCACCCTGGATTTACATTGGCAGCCCATACTTCTGCCCACAGATGACCATAGGAAGCTTCTATAGAAGTACACGATCCAGACAGTGCCTCAGATTAGTAAGGAGAGGCGGCCCCACCTGGAAGAGCAGGCCGTTGACCATGACTAAGTCCCCAACGGTGAGTTCCCCGGCACCGATTCCGTGCGCGGTCGCGACCATGGCGGCCGAAATCGCGCAGCTGAAGATGAAGCTCTGCCCAAAGTTCAGCAGCGACAGGCTCGTCTGCGTTTTGAGCGCAGCCGCTTCGTATTCTGCAGGCAAGTCAAGAAGGATCAGTGACTTGATATGGTTTAACTTTTTTTACATGTGCGGGCTGCAAAGCGCTGCAATCTGCAACCGCAAGGAGCAGCCGGTCTCCCAGTGAACTAAATCTGCCATGAGCAGGACATTTGGGGCAGTAAACATAGTCGAAGAGAGGGTGCAAGCTACTTTGAACGAAATCTCAGGGCCGCCCTTTGAAATATGCAGAGGAAAAGCAGACCATGCAAGCAAGCTGGCATTATGGCAAGAGTTCCTCTGTGCCCAAGGCTGTGCCGCAGATTTCTGTAGCAAATTCTCAGCTCCGCTGCTCAACAGCTGGCACACAAAGTTATGTTCTTTGGCACAAACACTCACAGCAAGCGCCATTACTCCATATGCCACAACAGAGCAAACGTTGATTTCGAGGGATGAAGAAGCGCGCACCAGCGAGGCACATGTCGTAGCGGGCCTGCTCGTGGGCTTCATTGCCGTAGAGTTTTACGGTCTCGTAGTTGATCAGCGAGTCCATCGCTCGCTTGCCCGCCTCGCTGTCAGCCCTGTTCATGGCCTGCCCGCCACACATATTCAAAAATTTCGGCCATTGGGATTAGATTTCAGACCTTCCTCTGGCATCTTTGCAGTGAGAGGCAAGCCCCACCTAAAAACTTCAAGGGCCTGGTTCAAGCAATGGTGGGTCAGGAGACCCTCTTGACCATGCATGGCCTCAGGCACTACACCATAGATGCAAAGCTCTATCTCATATCCCAAGTTACAAGCAGTGTCAAGTACTTTCACAGGCCCATAAAAACAAGCTACATGCTTCGCCATGCTGATGCGGAGTGCCGTCCTCGTGTGTCCTGACCATAGCTGCAATGCTATTTTGCATGCTGAGAGAAGAAGACAGAAAGAAATGTGCCGTCAGGTGGCAGCATGTGCGCACCTGCCGGAAGCGCGTGCGCCACTGTGTAATGCCGATGGTGAACGCTGAGTAGGTGCCGATGGCGCCGGCCGTCAGCGCGGCAAATACCGGGCCGCACTTGTACGCCAGCATGCCTGCACAAGTTTAAAGAGGACAATCATCAGTAAAATGACGACAGCACAGGCACTGCACTGCTGGTGATTGACAGCGTACATATAACTGCCCGGACAAAATGGCAGATATGCAGTTGGGCAAATCCGCCGCAATAAAAAAAAATTGTAGGTCCTACTTCATGGCAACAGGCTGTTTGACATGCATGCAAGGTGTCAACCCTTAGACTCCACCAAGGGCCACATTGTGGTTCATTGACATTAGAAATTCCTTATAGCCCCAGCTGTTGTCAAAGCCTGGACCCGATCTTCCAGATCCGCGACAAAGGCGATTGCCACAAAGGACAAACAGTTAAAATTCCCAGACCTACGCACTTCCTCAACTCAAGGAAAGTAGGGAAACATATTCCTTCACGCACCAGCTACTAGCGTGACCTCAAAGAGGGTTGGAACACGTTGAAGACCATGGAAAACAGGGTGCAGCCTAGTGACTCTAGAAACCTCATTTCATTTTGCACTTCTGGGATGTAGGGCTGAAATCCCGCCAATCCTGCACGCACTGGATTATGGAGGATTCGATGCTCCTCGGCCCTCACCTGCAACGAGAGTGACTTCGAACAGCGTGGGGAAAACATTGAAGACCATGGACGAAAGGATGAAGGTGATGCCCCGCGTGCCCCGGTCAATAATCCGGTTCAATGCTCCGGTCTCCCTCGCTAAGTGGAACCGCATGTCCAACGCATGCAGATGCGCGAAAACATCGGCCGCCACTCGCCGCACTGTGCCCTGCGCCACCTGCAGAGGAGAAAAAGGGGATATATTTAAGGGTCTCTGGGGTGTTTGAGTGTTAGCCACAAGGGTTTGGAGTGCGGTGCATCCCGCTGATGTCAGCGCTCTGCTCTGTTTTCGCCGCCAGGAGCTTCTCAGACCAGTGTTTGCCTGGCATTTGCTCTCGGGCTGCCCAAACTCACCGCCATCAAACACATGTACCGAAATGCTGGACCGGACCGGCAAGTACAAGTGGATAAGGGCACCTCTAAAAGCCAAGAAAAGGGCAGTATAAGGACAAATATTTGTGTGGCGCACCTTTGCAAAGACAGCGTTGCGCAATTCGTTGCAGAGCGATGACGTGGCGCGCGCGGCGCCGTAGCCGAGCAGCGCGGCTGCCGGGATTACCGGGAAGAACGGCGTGGCCGCCAAAACGGCGCCGCTGGGATCGGCCGTCAGCGCGTCGACCGCGTATTTGAACATGAACGGCACCTGTTGGAACAGATAAAGCCAAGTCAGGCAACTTTATCACAGCAATATGGGAAGTTTCAAGGTGAGGATGTGTCGAAGAGAGACACACTGAATCTTAAAACAATCTGGTACCAACTGATAACCGCTAAAGACGCGTTGCATGGTCTGCTTGGCAAGTTGGCAAGGCGACCATCAGAAAACAGCCACCGGACCAGCAGATCATCTTCAATCTAGCAGAATGCCAAACCGGGCAAATTTGCCAGCTGGCAATGGTGCCCTGTCAGGCCAAGAGACAGATCAGGCTAGAGATCACTTCAGAAACATCTCCGGCTCAGCGCCCCAATGCTGAAGATGGTCTCCTGGGACTTTCTGGCGCTCGATTTAAATGTAAAATTGCTTCTGAACAAACCCCAGAAGACCATCTACAGCAGTGGACCCCAAGCTGGTGAGGGTCAGAAGGGATCTGCAAACTGATCGCGCTGAGCAGAAAAACACAAACTAGGACCAGGGAAACAAAACACACTGGGAGCGCAGTTCCTCAGGGACCTGCTTTCTTCAAGCTCTCCTGCCTTTCGCCCTCAAAAGCACCACGTCTACTTTGCAACTGCCTGGACCCAACATCTGCATTTACAACCTATTTAGTTTGCCCAAGTTAGAGGAGCGCATGAGACAGGTGGGACAGTCGTGTTATGGCCTGCCCAAATGTAAAACACATTGCTAAAAAGGGCTTGGGGAGCTCAAGAACAGCAAATTAACAGATGGATGAAGATCAAAGCCTAGGAATTCTGCAGGAATACCATCATCAAATGAATGCATGGCTTGCTCGGGAGCGCTGTAGTGATGTCAAGCACCGGCTAGAGTCTTTGACAAGATGCTGCAATCTATAGTACTCATGTCCAAATCACCATGTGCCATGTAAGCATGTGCCCATGTGCGGACGACTCTTACTAATAATAGTAATAGGCCACTCACCGCCACGTTGAGGGCCTTGGAGGCGACCAGCAGAGAGAGAGCGGTGCCGATGCGCCACCGGTACTCGGCGTTGTCCCGCGGCAGCAGATAATCCGCCAGCTGGCGCAGGATCTCCGTGTTAGAGGTGCGCGCCGCCTCCTCCTCGTCGCTTCCCAGCACCTGCCGTTCCGGGGCTCCATTTACTAAATTCCCTCAACTTCTCAAGCACTGCGCAAGACCTGGGGGACAATACATGCGTGTGTATTCGTGTGGACACAGATGACCTCTGCGCAATCTAATGAATAACCTAAGTTGCGGGGAAGGACTCGGGGGAAAGACGGTGCGATCCTATTACAGCACACATGTCTAATCAAGCAGCACAGCCCAAACTGGTGTGACAACCTCCTCAATCCCAGTACAGGACCACACACAGGAGCCAGGGCAAGGCCAGACGAAAGCGGCGTGTGACTCGCTTGTTTGCATTCATGCTTGAGTGCCCTGCAATTCCTTCAGAGCTGCATACCGCTTGCGAACAGGTGCTCAGATGGCAGCCCCTTGATTGTTACAACCCAGGCAATCTCAGCAACGATGTGGGGTGCACCTTTGCTATTGCTGCATCAGCTTTGGTGTCTGGCTGCTCGATTGGAAGACTGGCTGCAGTAGCTGCCTCTGGCACGCGTCTGCTCTGCTGTCCTTGGGGGATTTGGGCTCCCTCTGAAGATCTCCGCTCGTCCTGCCATGCACACAATGGTGACTCACCAGGCTCCAAATCTACAGCTATCGACTAATTTGCCATCTGCAGAGCTTCAGCCCAAGAAAGGCGGCTAATACAGCAGATTCTGCACGAAAGCTTCAGGTTCTATGTGAGCGCGGATGGTGGGCCTGACCTGGAGCAGGGTCGCTGCTGTATGTAAGGAAGCGCTCTGCGCTGTGCACGATGCCAATAGCTTCTCGGGATGCACCTGGGCACACGAGAGAGTTTTAATTGCATTTTGCCCTTTGCAATGCCCAGTGATCTGCGATGGCCACAACACAGAGCAGCGGCTCACCAGGTGCAGGTGCGATTGATGAAGTCTACATGCTGCGCTGCTTTTGGTTGTTCGAAAGCTCTCCAGATCGAATGTAGCAAAGAATCGCAGATTGCATAACTGCTGAGCAGGGATCTGCAAGCAGGCTGACAGTCGCGATGCACCAGTCATTGCTGCGTTGCTATGGCTGTTCACGATCTGCCTGAGCAGCATTGCTGAAGCAGAACGAGCCATGTTCTGAGCTTATTCAAGCAAGCATTTGATCTAGTGCAGCTCTCACTTGGGCTTGCGGATGACACATGTTAAGTTGGCCGCCTCAAGTGACATATCAGCAAACTGCCTCTCACAGATTCAGCACTTCGAGTGCTCTGTCAGCAACCAGCTCATCTTCGTTTGTTGTTTCCTTTTGGCATGTCAATCGAGCCCTTCTCTTCTTTGTTTTGGGCTCGTGATGGCACGTGTTGTACCTGACGTCACCAGTGTGGCACTGTACTTCATCCACTTTGTGTTGTTCTATTATCGAACTTCCACGTTTGTAATGATTTTCAATTGCGTTTCGCGCACGGGCGCCTGCCTGGACTCGGGTAATTACTTATACAATTAATTATTTAATTACGTAATTATGTATACATATAACAAGCTTATTTGTTTGCATGCCCCCGGGCCCGGCACATGCAGGCACACTCTGGTGGCACACAAGATTTTCTGTGCTCACAAGATTGGCAACTGTCATTGCAGCTGGGCTTGAAACGGCCTCCACAGAATTCCAAGGCTGGCCAGGAAGCACTCCTCGGCGTCTCTGCGCAATTCCAGGGATCTGATCTGACCGTGGTAAAATTGCCAATTCATGTGCAGTAATTTCTGGTGGACCAAAATCGTTTCCTAGACACCTAAGACCCCTCATGAGGCCATTTCCAGGGGACCCCTGCCTAGGATGTGGAATCTTGGTTTTAACCGTGCCTTGCATGCCTCTCAAAATCTGGAAAAGACCACATGTGCATGAGCCAGCAATCATCCGGCTGCCGACAGCAGCGGGGTGAGCCTTGTGTCCAGGAAGCTCTCCCCCGAGGCCATCATGCCTGCATGCAATCGCTGCCTCAGTCAAACATCCTTATCCAGCAGCACTTGTGCTGAGAAACGGTGTACCTATCAACACCAGGGGCATTTCCAGCTTGTTTGGATCACGATTCCCGCTGTTGATGTGGTCTATTGGCTTGAATCGGCCCCATCCGGCCCCCATTTGTACACCCGAACAAGCCCCAAACATTCACAGTGTGTACCAAGCAAGCGCAGGATACATCTTCTTCCTGGACGGTGCATGCCGCGCGCTCATTTCCGCCCACAGTACATCCTCTTTTTCCCCATTTCTGCTCTAGGGTGCAATCTAAACCCTTCTCCCCAAGGAAGAAATGCGTTCTAAGAAGTGGGCAATCTGGAGCTGTACATCGTTAATTGGATGAAGAACCACGATTACCGATGTGATGAGTCATTGCCGGGCTCTCACCTGAGCCTGTCCCTGACTGCAGCGCAGCCGCGCGCCTCCGCAGCGCATCGGCTCGGACCCGGGAAACGGCGGACGCCGCGCGGCCGGCCCCGGCGGGGTCGTCGATGTGCGCGCAAGGGTCGTCGATGCCTGTGACGGGGTTGTCGATGCGCATGCAAGGGTCGTCGATGCGCGCGAGCAGCGGAGCGGCCAGGCCCGGGAAGGCGGCGCGGTGCGGGTGCATGTGCATGCACGCCGACAGCACCTGCAAGAATTGGTCATTTTCAAGCAGCCCAGAATCAGCAGCCTCGAATGCAGGCGTTTGTAGAGACATCACACAGGAGCAGCAGACTGGATTCATCCTATTGCAGGCAGCTGCCCACAAGTGTTGATGTAGGCCAATCAAGAGGCATGCACATGATGCGCACTCAGTCTAGCAGCAATGTGCGTAAGTGACACCATATGCATGCTGCAGCTAGTCTGCTTGCCGGAAGGAGGACCGCACTCACCTTGGCGCATGCATGCACATCTGACAAGGCCGATCCATCAGTGCTGGCTGTAAGGGCGGCTGTGGTGCGCGCAATCATCGCCTGCTCGATCAGCTCTGCGCCTGACTCACCATCTTCACCTGCAAACCCCCACTTACAATACTTCACACCTTGCAGATATCATTCAGCATCCCTGTGTTGATAGATTACTACATGAAGCAGATGTCGTCCTAGCTCTAGGGTCCTCTTGTAAGACAGAGCCATGGCATATCTGCGGTTTCCATGCATGTGGTAGGAGGATAGTAACCTTGAGTCCAGGATCAGATGGTTGCATTCACCTGTTCCTGTCCGCTCAAGGCGCCCGATATAACAAATAAGACAGGGTGTGGGAAAGAAAGCAAGCGCACCTGGTGGTCGCCTGATGAGGCGCTCGACCAACTCGCTCCTGATCAGGCGCCCGGCGCTGATGTGGCGCTCAGGGGAGATGCGCAGAACGCAGCAGGCCAGCGCCACGCGTACCTACAACACACAAGCATGCAGAGTTGTTGTTGGTACAAATTCCGGCCTCACTCCCCGGGTGTACCCTCAAAAGGGGCTCTCTTCCCAAAGAGCACACGCGTGAAGAATGCCTGGATCAAAGCATCACAGTTTACTAAACACACTTTGCCCCTAGGGGCCGTCAACTCATGGCTGCATGCTGCATGCGGGAAGTTCAACAACCAGGAAGATTGTTAAATGCACCAAATTCATGGCTTGTCCGCTCCCACTAGAAGTAATCCAGGGGGCGTAACGCAGAAATTGAGGGGCGTTAAGTAACAGGGCTCCTATGCATGCGCACCTCAATCAGCCAGGGGCATAAGCGAAGCGCGCGCATCAATTCCCTGGAGGCCGCCAGATCATCCCCTGCTGCCTGCATACCCAGCGCCGTGACTCGATGCTGCTGCGCTGTGAACTCTGCGCTGCCGCCACCAGCCAGCAACTGCATCCAACAGCGAAATTTGGTCAGGTCTCCTTGCGTTATTGGCACCAAATTAACTTCACAGCTGTAAGTCCCAATGCCTGCAAATCCCCTTCCCTCCTTGTCAAGAAGGATCAACACAAGCTTGAAGCTTTGCGTGCACACCGTGATTTTCTGGGCATTCCTGATTGCTTTTGCTTCACGTGTCATGACATGCTCATCTGCATCACTATTCGCAGACACAAGAGTCCTTGCTCATCTTGGACAATAACCCATTCTTCTGCAGTTCGTGTGCAGGCGGATTTGCCTCTGCAGTAAACAGCGTAGACAGGACAGTAGTATCAAGTCGAAATGCTCCGATTGCCCCACCTTCCAGGTCTGCACTCGGGAGTGGATCTTGCCCCGCGCAGAAGCATAGCCGGGCAGCGCCGCGGCCGCCAGCACAGTTAGCCACACCGAGTGCGCCGCGGCTGAGTCATGCGATGACTCAGCGCTGACTAACAGCTCGAAGCTGTCGTCCAGCCGCTGCAGCAGCCCGCGCACATCGCCCTGCTGGATCCTGAGCTTGCAAACTCCTTGCAGCGCCGCCAGCTGAACCTGCAGCGCAGCATCCCTTGATGAGAATTATTTGCAGGCAAGCTTAAGCACACTTCCAGAAGTGGTGGGGAAATCAAAACTGCACCTTGATCGGGGCGGCCGGGGACATGGCTCGCTGAAACGCTGACTCAGCCTGCCCGGGCTGCCCGCTGCCCGCCAGAGCCTGCCCAAAGCTGACCCAGTCAGCTGCCCGCTCGGGCAGGTCCCCCCGCTCGGGCATCTGCCCCCCAGCGACCAGCTGCCCGTACTGCCCGACTGCCCGGGCAGGCTGCCCGGCTCTGACATGTGCGTGTGCCAGGTTCAGCCGCACGGCTGCAAGCAAGTCATGCAGAATGTCCGAGGCGGGATGTGACTGCATGATGCAGTCCTCGGTGCAAGCATTCCCATTTGTTGTGCCTGCATGGACATTCCATGTCTCAAGACAGCTATTTGCAGTACGAGCTGCTTGGTTTTCAACACCTCAATTCTCTTGGGCTGTGTCTGCAAGGACACCTCCCGGACAGGACAACCAGGAGCCAAAAAATAAGCCAGTTCAAATGAGAATATTTTAGCCAGTTTAGCCAGAGTCTAGACAATGACACGTGCGACACAGCTTTTGGATCCTGTGTTCTTATATGCAGGGTTGCAGCAGACCCTGCATAGATTAGTAAAGAGCCAGTCACCTCCCGGTGAATCAGCGAGAAGGGCCTCGGCGCGCTCGTAGGCCGACGCAGCTTCAAGGAAGCTTCCTCGCTGCTCCTCCACGCGTCCGAGGGCGTTCCATGCCGCAGCATCCAGCGGCTGCGCCTCTGCACATCTGCAGATTCATACCGGGGAAAAGTTCTCAATACTGAACACTTTAAAAATGTACAGATCGTCAGCTTTAATGGTGGCAGCATGAGTCAGCAGTCGCTTTGTCAAACCAAAATCACGCCACCTGCCTTGTCCTTCCCTTGCTGGAAGAAATGAGTCCCCAATTTTGTACAGTCCCAAAAGAAAAATTTTATTGTATTCCAGATACATGCCCATGCACGTTTGCAATTCTGACCTTAAAATAGAGAAACTATCTATGTTTTGTTCATACACTTGCGATGTGTGGCACAGTCTCATGCTGTTCGCACTAAGTTCAGTTAGTGCATAAAAAGCTGGTGGTGGGTCTTTCAGGCACCTTCGTGCAGCTGCGTAGACGGTGCCATGGCAGGGTCGTCCGGCGCGCAGCGTTCCCTCTACTAAGCCCATCAGCGCTTCGGGCCCCCCGCCCAGCTTCACAGCTTGAGAGTACAGGTCCCCCCGCTCTTCCAAGCCTGTACAGGCAGCAATGACTCCTGTCAGACGACATGTCTGGGACAACTTTGATTGCATGCACTCAACACAAGCGCGCAAAAGTGTCTTGTCCTATAAGACGTCTGGGGACAATAATCAGTTCATGCACCTGATGCACTCGGGCAAGAAGGCACAATCCCAAAGAAGTCAAGGTGCACTTTCTGGTGGTAACAGTCCAAATTTGAGCAAGGTGTGGACCTGTATCACTTCAGTGAGACTAGGAAAAATAATGACAAAACTTGAACATTGCCTGTGTGTAAGATTGAATTGATGGAAGGATGATGACTCATGCTCTCTGATGTAGTATATGAATGCCTGCTTCTAGATTTAGATGGTGATGTTTGTTGGAAATACTGTAAAGTTTGGGCTCACCCTGGGGGCTGAGGGCTGCCAGTGATCCCATGGCTTCCCAAGTTGCAGCGCTGCCCGGGTCGTGGCTGCGGGCAGCTGCCAGGCAACGCTCTGCCAGCAGGGGCTGCCCGGCCTCCACATACAGCCTGCCCAAAACGGGCAGCACCACAAGTCAGGCATCCAAATAAAACCAAGCAAGAGCTGTAGGCCCTTCATCTGTTGCTTGTAATCATAAATTCTCAATCAATGGTAATATTGCGCGACCTGCTCTCCTTGTGCAATAATGCATCTTGTACCCACTGCTGTGCGATGCAGTTCTGGCACAAGATAGGAGTGAATGTTTGACGAAATAGCTACCAGTATTTGTATATTGAATCACCTGTATGATTTGTCGCAAGCAAATGCAACAAGAGCACAACAAGGGCACACCTGCCCAGGGCTGCCCAGTTGGGCGCCTGTTTTGGGTCGAGGGTGAGGGCGCGCGAAAGGGCGTATTCACGTGCGGCAGGAGACCCCGCACATGCACCCAGACACGCCCACAGATCCGCCGAAGCCGGCGCCAACCGCAGGCCGCCTGATGCAACTCCAAGAATTGATTCTCAAACAGATTCAACACGTGATGACTCATGAAGCCGCCCAGGGGTGGTGATGAGCTTGCAAGCAGCGAGACACTGAAAATCACTTCACAGATGAAACATGTATTTCATTGTTGGGGCGCAAATGGAAGCCTCTTGTGCTTGTGATACTTGAAGGCGACAATCTGAAGATTGCTCTCAACTCGTACCTTCAGCTTCCTTCTTACTTATTGGTGGTGTGTGGGCGAAACAAGTACCCAGTACCAAGCTTTATGACCCCTAATCCTGATCCCTACACCCCAAGCAAATTCCAACAGGATCTGCTGCTCGTGCCCACAGCGGGATCTACCATGCAGCGCCCCGTTATGAATACATCAACAACCATGGCAGCCACTTTGGAGGTGTGAGTTCCTGCTAAGAATCTTGGCGCACCTCTCAGCATGCGTTCGGCGAGAGATCTCAGCCGGGGAGCCTGTTCGGGCGCCATGCGCGAGTGCGCGCGGCGAAGCTGCGCCTCCAGCTGCAGGGCGGCTGCCAGGTCCCCCCAGTGGGCCCCCCGCTGCGGCGCCGCATGCAACGCCCTCGCGTACGCGCGCCTCGCCGCCTGCATCGCAGAAATCTGCCGCTGCCACCTGCGCGCAGTATATCTTTGCTTTACGATTACTGCCGCACGATTCCCAGTTCAAAGAGAGAAAAGGTGTGTCCGCAGACAAATTGCCCTAAAAAGGCTGCCCCAAGCACCATCCCTTTACACCAGATCCATGCAAATACTAGTTATCATGGGCACAGTGCTAAAGATTTTACGTCGTGCATGAAACGATGTTGTTGTGTTTTTCTCGATTGCATTTATCCATCAGAGGGCTTGAACAAACACTAGCATGCACATGGGATGTCTGTGCCGCTGGTACCGAGTCATGGGAAAATTGCTTTGTGTCAACACCACAGCGCAAGCAATGGGTACCTAGCAATGGCCTAAGACGCCCAGCCACTTTATTGCCCAACTATATACTCCGGACAACTAGATATCTGCCTGACAAGATTTATCTCACCTCTTGACGGCAGCGTCCAGGTGCTCTCGGGCTGTCACAGGCTGTTTGAGTGCACGCATCGGATCAAGCGGAGGGGCAGAGTACGCGCACAGGCGCACATCGCCTAGAAGCTTCAGCGCGGCTTCCAGGTTCCCCGCGCCTGCCAGGCAGGACGCCAGGTGGCGCTCAGCCGCCTCCAGATCATCGGCTGCGATGCCTGCAAACAATCAAGAAGTTTTTCATGCAGCAATGCTTGCACTGCCTGTACGGCATTGTACTCAAGGACAGAATTATGCATGCTGATTGTTGTATTTGAGACACCACAGAAGCAGATTGGTCCCATGTACCGAAGTGAGAGAAGGTGCAAGCCAGTTGCCAGTGGGTGGGACATTTCTCTCACCAATAGTGGCTCAGCAAAATAGCTGCCTCACGAAAGAATTATTATGTGGGAGCTTAGGTCTTGACTGGTCCGGGGGAAAGAATCGAGCGATCTTCCAAAGAGTAGAGGCTTTCAAAGTGCGAGGGTGCTTGCCTGGGGCGCCCATGGCAACGTGGCTCCGAGCGGAGCAGAGGAGGGCAGCTGCAGCGCAGGTGCGCGCAGGCACATGACGGGGGTCCAGCTTCAGGGCAGCTTCTGCGGAGGCCAGCGCGTCTGAATAGGCTCCGAGCGCCAAATAGATTGTGCTGCTCTGCACCAGGCTGTACAGGCGTGCTGGGTCCAACCCTAGCGCCTTTGCATATGCCTGCAGTTGTCATTCTTGTCATGTCAAGAGATCTTTGATGGCATCCTCCGGTAGCAAATGAGCAATGTGCTTCTTGGAGAGACAGTGAACACTGCGCCAACAAGCCTGCAGGGGAGGGATTGAGCCTTTGCATACAATAACCCCCGCATGATGTCCTCATTCATGCATGCCGGCACAATGCAAGACAGCGCAATGTAGTTCAAAATTTTGAGCTTCCAATTTGGGTCGTGCCTTGGTTGCGGCAGTGAGACGGTCCAGCGCCTGATACGCGGATCCCAGCCCCTCCCATGCGCGAGCATTCGCCTCATATCCCCTGATGCCCGCCTGCATGCACATCCCATGCATCCCTCTTCAGACATCACTTCAGCATCCACATATAGATGCGAAACAAGCACTGGCATTGAAGACATCGCCCTCGAGCGTGGAAACATGTGATGCAACCACCGCTGCCATCAGAAAAAGGCAGCTCTTGGCTTGCATGGCAGTCCTCACCAAACTGCCGGTAAGAGCGGCAAAGCAGACACATGTGTTATACCGGCTTGTGTTGCAGCTTGTGATGAGTGTGCCATGAGAAGTCTTGCAGGCCAGAAGTTTCCACAAGACAGACCTGCAGCGCAGGCACGGCCTCCTCTGCGTACCCCTGCCCCAGCAGCAGCAGGCCCAGCTGCACGTGCGCCCAGGCCGCCTCCGGGTACTGCGCAGCAATCTCCCGGCAAAGCGCCGCCGCGGGAGCGGCCGCCCCGGCCTTCCGAAGCAGGCCCATCAGCGCGTCGCCTGCCATGCACACATCAGGTCAATCCTAGACCCTAAACTTGTTAGAGAACAATCTGAAGACTTGTTTATATGGGGTAGGAGGCGTGAAAAACAGAGCCCATCACACAGGGCCATCAAGCACTACACACAAGCAGGCTGGGGAGAGTGTTATTATTATTGCTATAAAACACTTTCCTGCCAGAGGCAATGTACGTTTGCAGACAAGCAGCAGGCACAGGCTGCCTGGAAGAGTGCAGAATTGAATTTGTTTGTTTTTGTTTCTCGTGGCTCGATGCAAGGAACTAAGCACATGAGAGTGTGCACGGGAGACGTGCAAGGTTTGAGGCTCCAGCAGCAATTAGTCATCGGAGTGAGTAAGGGATGTGTCATCAGAATGGGGCGCACCGGCCATGGCGAGGCAGGGGTCAATGGAGAGGGCTCTCTGGAAACACCGCCGCGCCGGGCCAACTCCAGCCGGCGATCTTAAATAGGACCGGCCCAGCCATGCAAACGCCGGTGCCTGCACAGAGTATCCACGAGGACATCTTCGCTTGTACATTCCCTCTGTGCTCCACAATCTATCATGGTAATATTCCTGTGGCATGCTGCCTTAGAGAAGACGACTGAAACCATTTGATTGATGTCTGAAATGCTACACGCCCTTTTGCAAATGCAGTGAAGTCTCTATGGCATGTTTCCTCGAAAAAGGCAACAGATACCCTCTGATTGGTGTTCTGGCATATTTGATATCTTCTAGTTTGTAAATGTGTCTGAGGACAGAGGCAGAGACGAACCTGCTGAGGGCCCTCCACGGCGGCGGCCTGGAGCCACATGGCAGCCGCCGCTTTCCTGGCAGCTTCCCCGCGCTGCCCGGCAGCTTCCGCCAGCTCCCAGTGCGCGCGCCCCAGCCGCCAGCGATGCTGCGCGACCTCCCAGTCCGCCACCTCAAAATCTCCGTCCGCTGCGAATGCCTCGGCCTTTTGCAGCTGCTCCCCAGCTCCCTGTCACAGCACACGCACCAATCTTCTGTCACTGCTTTGATAAGCGAGGAGGCTGTGTCATCCTCACTTTGTTCTACAGCAGGAGGGAGGGCCAAGGAACAGCCCAGAAGAAGGGTCCACAGCACGAATGCGACGAGCTCATCACTTCTGCTGATATGCTCTGTCATGTCTGGAACGAGAAATACTTTACCATATGATGAGGATACAGGCGTACCTTGTAGTCACCCTCCTCGAACAGGAACCAGCCGTAGTCACCGTGCGCCCAGTGCTCGGCATCCGGCGGCGTTGCCTCCGGCACTGGCTTGGCCTTGGGCGCCAGCGCGGCAGCGCCGAGGATGTGCTCAAAGGCGGCCAGCGAGTTCGCCGCGGGCTTTGCCGGTGGCGCTGAGCGCGACGGCGGCTGCTGAGTCAGCGCGTTACCGAGAACACGAGCGTGCAGCTGCCGCGCAGCTTCGCGGTCGCCGCTCGCAGCTGCCGCCCGGGCCAGGCCGGCCAGCGCGCGCCGCTGCAACACAGTCGGCTGCGTAGCACCCGGTTTGGCAGTGTTCCCTGTACAGCACAGAGGGTAGTGATTATATTTTCATGTCAATCTCAAGCCTTGGGCCGTCCTGTCGCATGACTTGCAATGCGCTGACATGAGGACAATGCCGCTGAAAAGATATTTCTGACGCATGCGCTCCTGTACTTCATTGTTCTGGACGGCTTCTAGTGGGATGCGGTGTTCTTGTTACACGTGTACAAATCTTAGGTGATTGCACAACGGTACCTGCGACTTGCTTAAGGGCGGTGACAGCGCGCTCGGCCTGCCCCTGGGACAGCAGGCAAATCCCGATGATGAGTCGCAGCTCCGTCAGCGCATCCTCGTCAGCGCTGACTGGACTCTCTGCCGCCAGCTGCTGCTGCTGCTGCTGCTTCAGCAAAAGCTTGAGCCCCTGCGTAAGAAACCATGAAACCTGAAAATTAACCAATTTCAACCCTGTGTAAGTAAGTCATGTGCAAGGCACATGATGAAGGCACATTCAGCAATAGAGAGAGATGTTGCTGAATGTGTCATTCATCAAATGAATTGACATACACAGTTTTGTGTCCCCGGCTGGTAGAGGTGGGTATGAATATTGTACAAGGTGCCCAGCGGTTGATCGGGTCTTGCTTGGATCTGGCGGATCCATCAAGAGGTAGGATTTGCGGCAGCTTGACCTGCAGCGTATCTGTAGACCCACCTTGCCTCGGGCAGGGTCAGTGTATAAAATTGTAACGGTGAAATCCCGGTCTTGTACCTGTGTGGCCGTCTCAAGAGCGCCGCTGTGGTTGCAGGACTGCAGCTGCATGCGCGCCTTGGCCAGCCAGGCCTGGGGGAGGCCCCCCGCTGCCGCCAGGTCCCCCCGCTCCAGAAGCTGCGTATATATATAATATATCTCGTGATTTACAGTCCAATGGAAGGCGTTTTTGCATTATAAGACAATTTTCGACTAACTCCTTAGCAATGAGATGCTGGGTTTGACTTGGAATGCCCTGTGCTCTGCCAAGCAGGATGCATGCACAAACAAGATGTTCTTCGATAGTTTCCTCGATTACAGAGCTGATTAGGATGAGGAATGTTTGCAAGCCCTAAGAACAATGCTGCCCACCTGCAGGATAAGGGACCGCTGTTGGCTGGTGGATGGCTCAGCACAGTCACTACTCAAGCTCTGATAGAGCGTCAGGCCCAGCCCCACAGAAGCCAAGGGAGACTCTGGGAATTGATGCGCCAGCTTTCTCGCTGTCAATGCCGCCGCCTCCTGTTACATGGACAGAATATCTTTACTAATTCCTGCCATTGCCCAAGAGAGACACGAGCAAGCAATCAGCAAGGCTGATTGCTGGTCGCTGATTGCTGGCTGGCAGCAGAAACCTTTGCCCACTCTCAATTTGAACCGTCACATGCATGCCTAATCTTAGCGGTCCACTATCACATGCAAGCTGAGTGCAGACTGCATGCAGAACAGACACTGTTGGGGAAGACCAAATAGACATTGTCTGGTGTTTCAGGCGGCACCTGTGCTGCCGGGTCATGACTCGAGCGCAGCTGAAGCTTCAGGAGCGTCTGCAGAGGGCGGGATGAAGTGGAGCGCCTGATTAGGCGCTGGCATGTGACGGCAGCCTCCCGGCACATGTCATCACTCCACCTGTGAGCAAGACCAGATCTTGAACACAACCTTGCTCAATGCACATTGCTCAAAATCGATCTCATTGCCAAAGCAGTACTTTGACGAGCTAACAAAACGTAACCACAAAATTCAGTAGGCCAACAATCTGTCAGCATAAGAGAATCAGCCCAAGACACTCTCGCACATGTGACACTCTCTGCAATAAAAGAGCAGTCAAACTCACCCAGAGTCTTGACACTGAGCCCACAAGCGGTCTGAGTAGGCTTTGTGGTACGCTGCAAATCTGGGGGACGCCACTGTCTGACCCACAATCTCAGATACAGCGTCCCTGCCCCCTGCCAGCTCAATGCCCCTCGCTCCCAGCGCCAGCTGTGCAGAGCCCACATCATGCACTTTGAGAAACGGCTTGAATCTCAGTCTGTCATGAGCAGCGTGTGCATGACTTCTTTGTTACCATATACACCTGTGCAAAGACGGGGAAGGCTGGAGAGGGATTACTACAAGGTTGCTGCAAGGCACCTAGTCCTGAGGGCTGGAATAAACGTGTAATTACATTTCCAATACAACGTGGAATTCATGTGTAGTGGCTCGTCAGAATGTGCAAGTGTGAGAGAACTCCGGGATTCCACTGATTCTGTCATCGATTAGTTTCGACTCATGTTGGCCATTCCTTTAAATGGCTAGCCGTGGTGTGCCATACCTGGGCATCTGCAAGGCTGCACAGCAGCTCCAGGCAGATCTCTGCAGCGGCTGAGTCATCCCTCAGAAGCTCCTGCAGATGCAGGATCGCCTTTTCCAGCTGTCCAGAGCTCGCATATGCCTTTGCCAGCACTCTTTTGTACCCCTGCCGCTTCTCAGAAGCTTCCACACCCTCTGAAAGCTCCAGCTGTGTCCCCACAGTCAAATTTCTCACGGCTGGACAATTTCTCTCTCTCCTCTCTTCTTGGACAGCCATCAGTGACATCGTGCATGAATAGCAACCAGCAGTCTGCACCATATCATATATTCTTTCATCCTCCAAGTCTACATCTCGCTGCAGGGTTGCCTAGGAGGTGGAAAGATGCTTTCTGTGCTCTGGATGTGCAAGGCATGGCAGCAGTGTTTTCCTGCTGAGCAATGGGATCAAATGATATGATGAGATGATGATGAACCTACCAATTTTTCCTGTGTCTCGATGAAGTCAGAGGTGATGGCTCCTTGTGAGGTAAACAGCTCTGACAGGCCCTTCCATGCCAGCAGGGACGATGGGTTGACAGTTACAGCCCTTCTGTAGGCGGCCTCCGCCTGACCATGCTCGCCGAGCTGGAATGCAGCCTTTCCAAGCAATCTGATTGACAAACAAGATCCAATTGAAGGTGAGCGATGGTTCCTAGCTCCTGACATCCTGGAATGCCTCAAGGTAAAAACAAGCTCTCACACGGATATGCAATCAGCTCCAAAAGCGTTGACAATAAGAGCTGAAGATAATAATAATTAGAACTCACACAAGGGCGTCGTAGGAGTCCGAATCAATCTTCAAGGCTGCCTTCCCATGGCGTATGGCATCGAGGAATTCCTGCCTTTGCAAACTCTCCCGTGCGGCTTTCAATGAAGCTTTTACAGTTGCCATAAATTTTTCTGTGCTTCAAATTTCAGGAATGCGGTATATAAAATCCACTGGTCGCCTGCAGATTGTGGAATGTTGATCTAAAACTTGTACACAATCATGCAAGCCAAAAGTGGATATACCAAGTCCTCAACAAGTATGTACACTCTTAATACAATATTTGAGATTGATTCTGAACCTTTCAATCAACCAGATGAAGCACGTCTTTGTAGACATGCGGCAGGGCTTCCAACACCCCGTACAGGGTTATGTATGATAAAATCCCCTGTTCCGAACGAGTGTCGGAAAATTTCAAGATGGACTCTATCCTGCATGTTTTAGATACATGCTTGGCACTTCTCACGAGTCAGTGCAACTGAGAGGCATGTGCCCTGTATGAGCAACCTGCCCCTTCTGCTGCGAGTGAGCTTGTGTGGCTTTGCAATCCTGTAAAAGCTTATTTAGATTTGCATAGCTCATTTCCAGAGTGGAGCTAATGCTAAAATGCCCAGCTTGACTTCGATCGAATACCTGTCTCAACCTCTAGCTTCTAGACTACGTGAAAGGGATGAGTACTCTGCACCGCCCTTTACACCAAAGAGATCACCACCCGATCTTGTCGTGGCCTGGGACAGCATTGAGGCTGAGTATCATTCCTGGCTGCGCAATCACACGTTCAAGCCAGGCTCAAACTTCCAGATTGAAGATGACAGCCGTCCGTCGCTTGACTGTGTGTCTCTTATAAAGATGTTCTTCCAAATGGACAGCCTCGACCGTGTGAACGAAGTCCTGCGCAGCGAAGGCATCAACTGGCGATGGACGGAACGTCGCCCTTGGAAGGCCCCTCCGGGATTTAGCAGCCCTGGGTGTCCAGATATAGGGTGAGACTCTTCCAACAAAGCCTCTCAGCGCAATGGAGTGGGTTCCACGCATAAATTGCAGGAATTCAGATCAATGGGGAATTTCTTATGGGATGGGGTCGTGTTTCTGGATTGTAGGAGGCATCCAATGCACTCTGCGTTATTTTACTGCACACGAAGTGGAGTTTTGGACTCTTTTGCAGCTTTTTTTCCAAGGAGAACAACTTCGAACAGAGCACATGACCCAAACATGATAAGGCTCTAGTCTCTGCCTTCACATCTGTCTTTGCAGCGCAAGACCCTTGTCTGCCAGAAGCAATAACTTGCTATGATACTCCTACTATGCTCTGTCCCGGTCCCTTGACCTTCCAAAGCACCGCTCAATGTGCGGCAATTACTCGACTGCCTTTCTCAATTCTCCCCGCAGGCTGTTCTGGCATTCGTCAGGCGAGAGACTGCACCACGGAGACAAGCCTGCTGCGTTGGTGAAGGTGATGCATGGCTCAATACTGCCGGAGGGGGCGCCAAACCTTGTGCAAATCTGCAACCAGGGAGACAACACAGACACTGAGCTTGCTGACGCGGTGAGGTGCACCATCCAAGATTTCAAAATGCATGCTTGTGTCTTAGCCACGCTGTCAGGCATGCAAGGAGACACAAGACTTATGGCAGTTGCATCGGCCATTAGCAAACGTGCTTGCTCTGCATTTCCACCCGTTTAGATATTCAAATTGAAAATTTGCATTTGTGTAGGTTCATGTGCATAGGTGACTCACAGGAAAAGATGTAAACGACATTTCTTTGTTGGAATCCACTGATGCATGTGATGCTTGCTACCATAAATAAAGCCATGCATGTTGTATGATGCAGTCTGTATATGCCAAGGCTTGTGGGATTAGCAGCAGGTGGGGCTGCTGCATGGATATATATGCGTCCTCGAACGCCATTCCTGACCTTAGCTCAGTATATTTGACACTGTATGCAGGTGAGGGATCTGATAAGTCTGCTGGCCAGCTTCCTGGTCACCTGGGGCGTTCCCTTTGGGATCTTGACAGACTATACCAGGACCTTTCTTGTCAGACCCTCCATGGTGCGCCAATGTCATTATTGCCTAGTAACTGTTTTGCCACTCAAGGCCATGTAGGCATAATAGATATTATTCATTGGAATGCAGTGCTTCTTATTACACGCTTTTCCTGCCAAAAGCAAGGTGCGTCCTGCAGACAAGCTACAGACACAGGCTGCCACAATCCTACCCCTTGTTGGACTCACCAGATCCAAGCAAGACCCAATCGACCGTGGGTACGGTATTTATACCGCACCTTGCCAGCCGGGGCCAAGTCCTTCTTATCCATGTAAGATTCCACAGTGGAAGCATGCCCATGCCTTGCACGATGCAGACTGCTCAGCGGTTGAAACTTTGCACCCAGGGAGCTCCCAGCACACAAGGAGTAGCCAAGGAACCTTGCCGGCGCCAAGCAGATATTTGTAGAACAACCATTGTTCCTTTATCTCGGCCGACCAGGTTTGGCAAAGGCCAAGACTCTGACCAGGTACAGTTTCTTGCAGGTGGCTCACACAAGAAGGGCGGGGCGACTGCAGCTGGCCGTCTCGAAGGCATATGCCTACAATGACACATTGCCGAGTGTGAACGAGCTGCTGTACTGGCTCTCGGTGGGACTTCTCATCTACCTTGCCCCCTTTTGAATGCGTCAGTATGTAGGTTTTGCTGTACCATGGTGTCTTGCAAGGTGTGACTGTGTTCCCCAATCAGGCATAAATGGATTGCTTGGTGCAAGGCCCTTTTGCTATATAGTACATGGTCATGGAGCTTGTAGATGTATCAGACCCCACGTTGCTGTTGGAAACCCACATTGCTGCTGAGAAATAGCTGGCATGCGGAAGTGACGCATGACGATAAATATTGTGAGGATACGTGACTGTGTTGTCAGGTCACAAGCGTTGATGATCTCACACATGAGGTGCCAGTCAGAATATCCCTATCACCGCCGCTGTCAGCTCACAAGGCACCATCTATTGTGAGGACTGGACTTCCAGTGCCATTCCCAATGGTCAAGAAGGAATATTACCTAGGTGGGCCCCATTTTGACAATCAAACATCAGGTATCTTGTCACACAAACACTCTTGGGTTCAAGAGTTCTACCTAGGTGGGCCATATTTTGATAGTTAGACATCAGGTTATCTTGGTACATAAGCACCCTTGGCTATGCATTGATTGCGCCCTTTGCTTTGCTGTGTCACTTGCCAGTGTGCGTGGCGCAAGTCTCTTAAACGACCCGATGCTTCCCATGCCTGTGCAGGATTATTCAATACTGTGCGGGGTACATCATTTGCACAGGTTGAGCAATATATGTCACTCATGCAGGCACCATGGATGAGCAGAAGAAGGCTGTGGCTTCCTTGAAAGCGCTGGACAGGCGCTTTGTGAAAGGGGGCTTCTCGATGCACGTAGGAGAATTGGCCCTTGGTAGACTCCCTCATATTGATTGAAATGCACTTCCCTTCAATCAGCTCTTCAATCATTCAGTGAGAAGGCGATTAGCCCCCGGCAGGTGGGGACAATAGAACTGAGTACAGGGCGCAAGATTAGTGGCAGCCTTCATTCTACAACTTCTTCCCATGCCCGTCCTTGTCTCTCGCAATAGCAAGCATGTCTCCATTATGCAGCTCTATGCCCTTTCAAAGGGACCATGGTGCTGTCAGATCCCATAAATACATGCCCTTGATCTATGTTTTGGAGTGCGGCTTTCAAAGCCGGCATGAGTGCGTGGCAATCTCCAACAGAAATCCCCGCGAAGTCTGACATGTTGTACCTTTGATGGTCTTCCACACGAGGCAGAGAGTGCTGCATGCCTGTGGGCAGGTGAAATCCTAGGGTATGGTAGCACCGGGGAGGTGCAAGCGGGGGTATTTGAGGGATGCGACGCAGCATTCAAAATGCTGCTCATCGATTCCCATGAGGAGTCCTATGGAGCGCTGGAGCGTTTGATCAATGAGCGCGACGTGTACAGCAAAGAGTTAGCTCAGCTGCAAGGTGAGAAAAGACCTTAACAATCCTTCAATGTGCACCTGCAAAAAATTTCCAGCTTTGGAACAGCCAACAAATCAAGCAGTCTAGGGTTGGGAGATTTGGAAGGCTGTAGAAGTATTAAATCATTCCAACCTTCTTCTCATGCAATGCACAGATAGCTCGTAGACGTGGTTTTTTGGGACCGAAGGACTGAAGAGTTTCTTTTGTGCAGGGTCATTGGTGCCTCAGCTCTTGGGCCATGGCCTTGTGGAGGGGCACTTTGGCCAAGTGGCTCACACAATTGTGCTGACAAGGTGCTGAGTCATCCGATTCATTTTGAATCATGAGACAATATGGGAAACTGCAAGACGTGCATCTGCAATACATGTCACCTTGACAAGCATGTGTTGCCTGCTTTCGCTCCAAGAGAACTGCATGGAAGGCGATTACCGGAGCAAGTGGGTGAGGGAAGGATGCTTGGCACGTTTTTTGCAACGCTCTTGGATCATTTCTAATATGTGGCTGTGTTGGTGCCAGGATCAAGGGCACAGTGTTGAATGACATGGATGTGACACCAGAATTGGAAGCAGCTGCGTTGCGCGTTCTTGAGCAAGTGCACAAGGCGGGCGTGCTGCACAATGATCCCAGGGCACTCAACTTCATTTGCACAACCTCCGGACCTGCAGGTGACTAACAGAAAAAAAAATCCATGACCAACACCTTTGCTTTGCAATTGCATGTCCTAACATAGGTTCTTGACATAAAATGGTTGCTTTGCCTGGAGCAGCAGTGAGCAATGTCTCACTGCAAGCCTCGTTCAACCCTTCGTTTATAGAGGCTTGCCGTTCTTGGACAAAAATGTATTTCCAGCTGGGTCAACCATGAATATCGCGCTTTAAACTCTTACAAAAATTATCGTCTTTGTGTGAATGTTGAGCAGGGCCACACGTGGTACTTCTGGACTTCAGTCATGCATCTGCATCCAAGGATAGGGCAGCCAGAGAGGAAGACGTTGCAATCTACCGCTCAGAGATGAACAGTGCCAGAAGTAGGAGGGAACAATGAACAATATCTGCCGATTTAATGATTCGTCCTCAGTCGTGAAGCGCAAGTGCCACACTTGTGAAGGTGCCAGTCCTTACGGTGTAAGTAACCTATTGAAGGTGCCCAATCCAGTATGTCTTCCCATATCTGGTATCTAAGTTCATTTTTGCCCTGGGGCACTTAATTATAACGGGGTCAAGACAGTCAATATCCAGCAGTCACCTTCATACATTATGGTCGAAGATTACAGCCAATCAGCTGCGGAGCAAGTAAGGCAGCAGCAACCTGACAAACTCACATTCGTCACCTTATTGTTCTTGGCCAGATGCTTTCATTGCTGACTTCAATCGTGCACTAGAGGAGACACCCTGCGCCTGACAATGCAAATGCAGGCTAGACTGTCTGAAAACTAACAGACAAAACATTAAGTCCCAGTGAATTCGTCATTCTCTCAAACACAAGGGCCAAAGCTGCTCACAACGCCGGGAAGACACTTAGGAATTGTTGCTTCTGCATGGACTCATGTGCAGCCTTTACTGATGCTTCTAGGCTTGCCATAACTTTTGATGGAATACAATTTTCTTATAATATCAAATAATACTGCTCACCTGCAGGTTATGCGTTGGTGATCTACAAGTACACTAAGCCGAACTGTAAGAAAACAAAGTTGTCTACCTCCCCGAAACATGGTTATAACACACAGAATGAAATTGCATATGCTTCTGGGTTTTCAACCTTCTAGGTGAAGCACTTTTTGATTGTCTGAAGGCGTCCCACAATGGGTCTTTTCCAACTCCCTTGTAGGGTCTACCCTCCACTCACTCCCTTGGTTCCGAACGAATGGATAGTAATCTTGAGCTCCTGCACAGCAGGAAGTGATGCAGAAGTTATTACCTCTACAGTGCGAGTCAAAATTAAAGTAGGCCGATGTAGCAATGCTCACCATCAACTCGCTGGAGTACTTGTCCAAACCTTTAGCATCAGGTGTAGATGAAAGGTTCCAGGGATCCTATAGACCATATTATACACCGAAAAGGTCTTCTCCAGACCTTGTGGTGGCATGGGACAGTATTGAGACCGAGTACCATGCCTGGCAGTGCAAATATACGTTTGACCAGGCACCACGATTCCTAAGTGATGAGGTCGGCGAAGCCCGCTTTTTCACGCCGTTTGACGTCGAAATGAGGTTTGCCATGAGCAGCCTTGAACGGGTAAACGAAGTGCTGCGTGGTGAAGGCATCAATTGGCAATGGGTGATAGGGAGTGAATGGAACTCTCCTCCTGGCTTCAGCAAGCCTGGGCTCCCAAACTGTGGGTGAGACATGTTCTCTTCCTTACGCTTGGTCAGCAGTGGAAACACTGGCTATCAAATATAGATGCATTACCTGCCAGGAGCAAGATGCGCCTGCAGACAAGCTGTTGGCAAAGACTGCCCCATATCCTACCCGTCTTCATGGACTCACAAGGTCCAAGCAACACCCATTCAAGCGTGGGCACGATACTCAGTAATTGTACCGGCCCCTGCCAGCCTGGGCCAGAATCAGATTGAGAATGATACTTCTATGATAATCTGCTCTAGTATGGCTTAGAGCACACTTAAGACTGATTGGATCCCAAAGCAATTGCTCAAGGCGCAGACTATGATGTTGTTCTATCCTATATTGTTTCGAGATACCTATTTTAATCTTTCCGCTGTGGTTTTCTGCGCAGGCTTTTCTGGCGGCCTACAGATGAGGGAAAAGGGCCGGTCGGCGACAAGCCTGCAGCAGTGATCAAAATAATGCACAGGTCGATTCTCCCTGAGGGCGTCACAGACATTGTGCAGATTTTCAACCAGGGGGACAAGATGAGCATTCAGAATGCTGATGAGGTGAGGCTGAAGTCAACATGCAGCTGCCTCAAAGCCTGGTAGCGCAGTCATTTATGTATCACATTGTCAGAGGCAAGGTGCGTCTGCAGACAAGCTGCATGTAGAGGCTGCCAATATTCCTGCCCCTTGTCGGATTCGCCAGACTGTCAGTAGGAGCCTGGCAGCGTATGTGGAGATTGTATCCTGTCTGCTAGTGTCACACAATATTGCCTAGAAGTGTAGAAAACCAGATTGCCCCTGGCTTGGCATCGATCTTGGAGATGGCCGGTGTCAGCCCGATGTCGGTGGTGGCCGGCTTAGTGCTGGGGATGCCCTGCAGCCACATCAGATTGCCATCAGATTGCTTCGTTGCTTAAAAGAAGCCCAAACATATTTGCGGTAGTCAGAGGATGTCTGCAGCGCAACATGTATGACGAAACGCGCCTATGTGCGCTGCTGTGCTGCGGCTAAAGCAGAAAAATGCCACTTTGTTTATGTACAAAGTGTGACATGCTCCGTTCACAGCTGACTGGTATTGTGACACAGAGGAGAGATCTGCACTCAACTCGATCGGGCCTCGAGTGTATTTTTCATTTTTGCTGCTTGTCGCAACAGTAAATCGCCGGTGCAGCGCGTAGGAATGTCTGTGCTCTTTTGTCTCAGTTGCCATAACATGCAGTGTGCTATATGCAGGTGAGGAATCATGTGGACATACTGGCTAGCTTCCTGGTCACATGGGGCATTCCCTTTGGCGTCCTTACAGACTACACCAGGACCTTCTTCGTGAGGCCCTCTATGGTGTGTTGCATGCCCGAATGACCCTTTCACCCCAAAACTCATCATCCGACATTTACTGCCCAATGAGACCTCTTGTATAACAGGACATAGCCGGTTTGAACCTCGTGACCCTTCGTGTGTAGGGTGCCTTCCAGAGATGCGCAATGGATATAGTCATTATGTGTCACATGATGTCACTTGCCCTAGTAGAGATTGGTACTCTGCAAGCGATCCACGTGAGGATACAATGTCTGCAAATGCTGGATAAATGTGCCTTCGCATGTTCTGCAGGTGGCATGTACGAGAAGAGCACAGCGGCTGCAGCTGGCGATTTCAAGAGCATATGCATACGATAACCTTTTGCCCAGTGTCAATGAGCTGCTCTACTGGCTCTCGGTAGAAATTCCATCCATTATCAGGCCCTCTTGCTTATGCCTGACATGAACCAATTCGCTGGCATGTCTATCCAGCAAACACTTTCAGAGTATGGCAATCAAGCTCAGCACAAGCATATTGTAAGTGCATGGCATTCTATTCTGTCCTCAGATGTTCTTACATGCTTGCAGTATAACAAACATGATTGGCTTTCACGCTGATCTGCTCTGTGCATATATGGCAGCTGCTGAGTTGCACAGGCTGCAGCTTTATAGCATAGTACTTTATAATCTTTGAAGTATATGTGTCTTTTTTGGCAGGTCACAAGCCTGGCAGATCCTTTGAATGAGGTACCAATGACATTGCAACTGGCGCCACCGCTTTCAGGCACCAGGGTGCTTTCTCCTGCCACCACTGGTCTTCCTGCTCCTATTTTTCACATGCTGAAGAGGGTGTACGGAGGTGAGGCCCAAACGAGCAGACCTCTTCTTAGCAATCACAAGCATCCCCTACAAGTTTGCTCAGTGCATCCAGTCGTGTATTACAGCCTTGCTGAGAATTGCAGCGATTCCTTCTGTGCAAGCTTCGTGAGAATACCAGTCAGCGAGCTGGACGTTAATATCATCTCCATCACCTTGAATTTTTCCAAATTCTTTGACGCTCTTGGATCAGCAAAAGCAAGCTGTAATGGCACCATGTGTTGGAGTTCTAAAGAAACTTCAACCCCATGCAGGTCCGGATTATCAGTTGAGAAGCCGTGCAAAGTTGGTCGAGTCATTGGACAGGCAATTCATGGAAGGAGGCTTCTCCCTGCATGTCAATGATCTTGCCTTGGGTACACATCCCCTCACATCACAGAATAGGGATCAACACAGTGTAATTGCTTTGGCTTTTAGGAAGCTCAAGTATAACACTAACGTGCACTAATGATCAGCAGGATTGAATACAAACTCGCTCAGCAGATTTCATGTTGTCAGCAGGCTCACCAACTTACAAAAATTCTTGCATTGCTTTGGCTGGCTTCAATGTGCATGCGTCCCTTTTTTTGAGTGTTGACCTAATATCTGCTTTCACGACCTGGCAGTGATGAATTTTCAGGAGCATTTAACAAAAAAATACTATCGATGTGCCTCCTGTGTAGCAACCAGCCCTATCGCTTCAGACATCTAGCGAGCAACTGGATTTGCCAAGCTGGTAAAATTGCAGCAGACAACGTTGCCTTGATCTCATGTGCGCAGGAGAGACCCTGGGGTCTGGCAGCACCGGGGAGGTGAAGGTGGGGATTTACAAGGGTTGCGATGCGGCGGTCAAAATGCTGCACTTTGACTTCCATGAGGATACTGAGGATGAGGGTCCGGACCCAAGTAAGGCGCTACAGCGGCTGGTCACAGAGCGCACTTTGTATGCCAAAGAGCTGGCCAGATTGCAAGGTGAGGGGCAATAACTGCGAACGTATTCAGGATCAATTGCTTGGAAACCTTTCCAGTCCAGGGCTTCAGTTTGAATGTCTGCATGGCTGCCTCTGAATCCTGCCGCTCGCATACTCACGTGGATGCTTTCACCGCCAAAGAAACAGCTATCTTGAATTACTCTGTCATGCACTGATGTGGCATGCAGTGAAAAGGATGAAGTTCAAATTTGCAGGGTCAGTGGTGCCTCGGCTGTTGGGGCATGGCCTGGTGACGGGGCACTTTGGGCAAGTGGCTTACAGCCTCGTGATGACAAGGTGCTGACTCATCCTGCTCAATCTAAAACTGACGCATGCGAGCCTTAACATCATTGTCATATCAGACTGTGCCGGAGATGATGTGGGCTTCAAATATAACCAAATGTTTGCATTTGCCAGGATCCAGGGCCCGACGTTGTCAGACATCGATGTGACGCCAAAGGTGGAGGCGGCTGCCTTGAGGGTCTTGAAACGATTGCACAAGGCGGGCGTGGTGCATAAAGATCCAAGGGCCGACAACTTCATTTGCACCGACCCGTCCGAAGCTACAGGTGAAACCGCGTGAACCATCCAGGCCTTTTGTGCAGGCCCCACAAGCAGCCATTTAAATTTTTGCGCGAAAGATTTCTTGTCAGTCAATGCAGTCATCATGCCAAGGGTACTCAGCATGGGCCTGATAACTCGGCGAGAAGCTACTTAAGAAGGCATTAGTCATCGCTGAGTCATACTCGTCTTCCAGGGCAATTACTTTGATTTCTCTAGCTGGATGTACATGTATGATGAGATGTGTGACGAGCAGCCTGCCGTGAGGGATTGATCATTAATTAATAATGTCTTAGAGAAATCTCTTTGATACTTATATTTCGGATTTTCAGGGTTCATTCTGATTTGTAGGGTTGTAGATTACCCTAAAATAAATACTAACTTTGTAGCAGGGTGTATGATGGAAACTTTTCAGTGACTTGAACTGTGTCGAGCAGGGCCGCAAGTGGTGCTTCTGGACTTCAGCCATGCATCTGCATCCAAGGACCACGCAGAAAGGGAAGGGGATGAAGAAGATTTCAGCTTTGAGATGAAAGCTGCCAGAAAATGCAGAGAAGAATTACAGCGTCTTCACCCCAAATCAGATCAGGGCACATAGCTGGCTGATTTTGCATCCGTTGCTCTTGAATTTCAATGTTTTGTATTCTAATCTCTGTCCATTATTTGCCTCAAATTCAGATCAGGCAGCATGCCACAAGAGTCCTTTAAAGAATGTGGATTCGATTGTCTTCAGTCCAGTCGTTTGGACTGCATTGCTTCAAGCAGAGAAACAGCTCACCATACATGTCAAAATCCTGGTCCCTTGATGATGCGTATTCACCTTGCATCACCCCTCTTCTGGGTCCAGCCAAGGGGTTGCCTTATTTATATGGTGGTACTTGTAGTAGCCCTCGGACCAGCCATGCAAAACGGTCTAGGAAGCAGCAATAGCGTACAAGAGGGAAAAGGGGCAGCATGTACGCAGAAGAACCCAATCTTCCTTCTCAAGTTTAAAGAGCAAACTCCCAATCAACTATATCAGTACCATGCTCGGCTCTGATTTGTGAGCCGCTCAGAAGGATGGGATGAGCCATGCATACATTCTGGACAGCAGGAAAATGGCACGATAGGGCAACAGGTATCATGTATGCAAGACCAATCTTCTTTCTCCATGAAATTTCCTTGATCCGCTCCTGAATTTGAGCCGCTCACCAGGATGGGACAACCAATGGGATGTCTTCTGGCACAGGCATGGCGCTCAGGTCATCTATGAGCAACGCTGACACCAGGCTGCCAGCTGGCAACACCCCTTGCACCTGCATGCATGCACATGAAGTCTTACTGTTTCCCCCTGTGACTCAAACAGGTGATTTATATCGAGCACAGATGTATACAAGCATTGACTGTTCACACAAGCAAATTACGCAGGGTTAGGTGCCAGTCAATGCCGCTCATCAGAATGGGAAGGCGTGAAGTGTTTAGGAGACATCTGCTGCTACATGCTATTTCATGATGTTGCCATAATTCATAATTCTCGGCAAGCTGGGAAGGTTGTGCTCCTACAGCAAAGTTACTTGATAGCAGGAGTCATGACGAAAAGCTGCGTAATTTATGCGCCAAGAAGAAGGGCCAGTCAGGGAAGCGAGGGGCTCACAGCGGGCAGTTCTAGGAGGGCGTTGGCGGAGCGCATGCTTAGTAAGCGGCTGCTGATCTGGCCGCCCGTGCTGGCGGCCGCCAGCTCACCTGCTGACTCACCCGTCCTGCACCCACCACCACCTTTGCTAATTTCAATCCAAACACTGCTCAGGGCACAAATTCCTCATTGTGTCAATGATGGTCGCTCACGCTCTTTCTCAGAATCCGAAAGAAGAGGGATTTTGCGGCATGAGATATGATTGTGCTTGCCTGTGCCAGCTGAGGCTGGCTCGGTGGTACTCTGGCCTCTCCGGATCGAGCTTGATGGCCGACTGCGTCCGCGCATGCACCCGCCGCAGCCGCGGCTCCTGCACACAGTGGAATGCTTGTTTTTAGTATTATAATTATTATTATTATTATTATTACGTTCATTATCATTGCCTGTCAAAAAGCAAGGTGCGTCCTGCAGACAAGCTGCAGTCAAAGGCCGCCACAATCCTACCCCTTGTTGGACTTGCCAGATCCAAGCAAGACGCAATCAACCGTGGGCAGTGCTTGTTTGAGAAGTTTTGATTTGCAAAGCACGTGATTGCCAGCTCAACAGGCGTGCTGAAGGACTTCACTTGCAAAAGACTCTCGCCATGGCTTAAAGTACCACAAACACCGGACACCGGAGAACCCAGAATCTTGACAAGCTTGTATGAAATTTCCAATGTCTCATGCCGCAGCGAGTCAAGTTCTGTACATGATGCATTATCCACATGCACCGCGGTTGACATAGTCTGGGCCCATGTAAAAAGAAAATAAGATGACACGGTGACTGAGGGATGACTCACCGCCCAGCCGGCCATGGCGCGCAGGGCTGGCAGCACGACGAGGTTGAAGGTGACGATGCTGCTGACTGGATTGCCGGGCAGCCCAAACACGACTAACCCCCTGCCCGAACTGCCCGCTGCGCCGTCAAGGGTCGCGAAAGTCAACGGCTTGCCCGGTTTCATGCACACCTGCAAATACAGACCCACTCAAGATCACAACACCCCCATGGGGTCAAAAAGGGGAACGAAAAATTTTATAATGTGGTGTGCATGCATTGCCGTGCCTTCAAGATCCTAAAAGAAGCACAGTGGTTTCATTCCCAGGTGTGTGGGCATTTATCGTGTTTCACGCAACACTGGAAAGCTGGGCAAGACCCAGGATAATAAAACAGAACAAGAAGCCCAGAAAGAATCTCATGAGTGGGGCAAATGTGTACCTTGCCGAAGTGCACGGTCCCCTGTCGCTCCAGTATCGGCTTGATGAAATCCCTGTCACCCACCGAGACGCCGCCTGGAGGCCAAGCGAGCATATTCAGTAAACATAGTAACCAGAAGACCCAATAATACCAGCAAAATTACAATTAAAATTTGAAGCCATGCAGACAGATACAGATCCAAGGTCCCAGCAAGTCTAAGGGAAATTGAGGGAGATGATAAGTGAAACCCATTGAGGAAGCACCTGAGGTGAGAAGGACGTCTACCCCCTGGGCAATGGCTTCCCCAAACTTGGCTTCTACCTGCACAGCACACCTCACCAGTAAGCTCACATCACACTGAGGTCTCTACAATTTAGCTCACGCCAATACAGCACCTGTGAGCAGCATAAAAGCCCGCTGATACTCCTGGATCACGTTCTGACAGAACTTGGCTCAGGAGAGAGATGGGGTGGTCAAGACAGCACTTTTAATTGCCTCTGAGCATCCCAATGAGTGATGTACTGTAACTTGCTTAGTAATTGTTAGTAAGTAACTGTTACTTACTTACGTGTCAGCGTAAGTAATTTGGGCAATGAATGTATCTGGGCCAAAACTCCATCCTCCTGGAACCCAAAAGCATGAACCCAGTCAAAAGGAAAACTCCCTGGGAATTTGGTTCCTGCTTCTCTGCGTTTCCTGACTTCTTCTGCGCTGAATTTTGCTGCCTGTTTTTATGGTGCAATATGCGCCACCAAACAATGCCACATTTGTGCTCTGGGAGACAATATTCAGAGCTACGCCATATAGGAGGAGATTCAGGAATATTGCACCTCGGCCGGGTCGTCCCGCGCAATGCCGAGGTCCGTAACATCGCAGCCGGCCGAGCGCGCGGCGGCGGCCAGCATGAATCTGTTGGCGTCCCTGATTTGGCCGGGGCCCAAGGTTTCCTGATCTGGCTCCACCAGCTCATCCCCTGTCGACAGCACCGCCACGCGCGCCTTTCTTCGCACCTGCGAATAGAAATGGGTTTATGAGGGTTTTCAAAGCGAATTGAAAATATGGTTTTGGAACGGCGCGCAGTATGTATTCAAGGGGAGTGAAGATAGAGGTTGGAAGCGAGCGCAGAGTCTTTGCTGCTGTGCAGACGATCACATGAGTTCAGCTAGTCATCTGGCAGCTGGATGCTGTCAGTGTTGCACATCTTTTGTCATGGACTGCTTTGACCACTTGGATGCTGTCAGTACATCCAAACAGCCCTAGGCGGCCTATCAGGTAAGAGCAAAGTGGGCTCAGGGAGGATCAGCATCTCTATACTCTTGCAGTCATATTGAAGTGCATTGTGCGGCCGCCAGTTGCCAAACATGTAGGCTGCACCTGAAATGCATGCCCTGCTGGAGAAGCAATCAAGTTCATGACTTGTGAGGTACACATTTCCGAGTGAATTTAATTTTCCAGAGAACTGGGGTCACCTGAACAGTGGCAGCGCCCACGGTGGCCAGCAGGCCGATCTCTGCTGCCCCGACCAGGCTGTCCTTTGCAAGAACCACCTCTCCAGCTGCTATGTCTGATCCCAGTGCTCGCACATCGTCCCCCGGCCCCTTTGCTGGCTGCATGCACTCTTGCCAGTGAGCATGTGTCACATGCATGTCAATCGATCAGACAGTGCTGTCGCTGATTCTGGGGGTGAGGTGGAGGAGGATGCCTGCTTGCATGGTGTGGACCCAGAGGCAAAGCAAGAACCATCCAAAATTTTGGAGGGATGCTGACAAGGCAAAAGGTACCTTGACAATGCGGACCCGCTGCTGTCCATCAGGGCCGGCTGGCAGCTTCTCTGTGTTCTCAACCTGCACGACTGCGTCCGCTCCATCCGGCAGTGGTGCGCCTGCAAGAATTTAATATTTCAAATTTCATGAGATTCTCGATTGTCAGAAGAGGCGGATAGCCTCCAGGTGGGAGAGATGGTGACCAAGAAGATCCCGTGCCCGTACCTGTGGTGATGTAAGCGACACTGCCGGCCTTCAATTGACCAGCAGCTGTGCCAGCCAGGGCTTCGAATGCAACATCATAGTCCCCTGGCCCATCGGCGGAAACCACAGCGTACCCATCCTGGAACACCATTGCAATGTGACTTAGCTGGCAGCAATGCAGGATGACTCAATCAGTGCACCTTAAAATCTTTTGAAGTTCATTGCAACGCAGTATTGGTGTGGCAGTTCCGATGAAGGACCCCGATTGCTTCAGATCGTCGCACCTTGATCGAGGCAGGAAAGGGTGGCAGAGGCTCCCTTGCGATCACATCCTCCCCCAAAATGTGTCCAACAGCATCTGAAAGGCCCAACGAGATTGATGGCAGGGGCTCAATCGCATTCAGCACAGTTTTCTGGGCCTCGGCGATGGAGACCATGCGATACATCTTGTATTTCTATTTCGATGTGCCCTTCGCAATATAAATAGGTTGAGCCTCTGTATAGATCGTCAGTGCCAAACAACCGCTCAAGCTTGTATGTTGTGGATAGCTGCACACTTCGGAAGGAAAATCCAGCATTTGATCACATGACTGTCACATGATGGTCTTCCAGAACATGGTTGACTTGGGCTTTGACCCTGGGGACTGAAATTTGGAACCAATTCCAAATGTGTCACGGAGTGTTCATATCAGACTGAACGAGCCTTTTTTCGTCCGCTCTCGGAAGCCTACCAGTCCTGAGCGCGACCAGTAGTGGATTCAGTGATGACCTGCGAAGCCCCCGATGATCTATTTTGCATGTTGCATTTGTGACATCAATCTTCCATGCAAGCCTCACAGAGGTGACGAGGAAAGAAGTGAACTTGGTTGAGAGAGGCTTGCAAGGTCACTGGTTTGCACCCTACGTAGTCTTTTCTTTTTGCTTTAGACTTGTGAGAGAAGGATCCGGATACGGTGTGATCGCACTGCGCTCCGGGATCGAGGAGCAGTGGCAAGTGTGATTAGTTTTATGCAGTTGTGGGCAGCAGTATCATGCAATCCTAAGGCACCGACTCACTTCCATGCGACAGAGCACGTCAACTTTACGATAGCACATTTTTATTCTGCATTTGATCAACCATTCCAAAATACAATAATTCTAGGCTCGCACTCCACAGGTGATCCTCTTGGTCTCTGTGCAAAACTGGCAGCGTCTGTCAATCACCACCGTCGAGCCTATAGGAATTCCTGGTCCAACCATATGCTTTGCTTATTCGAGTCCGGCTGAAATTGCTAGCAAACACCTTCCCCCATCATAATGTGCTTCCAGACACAATCACACCGCCCTCTCCACACAGCACGATCAGCACTGCAAGGCCTGATCTCAGCAAGGCATCTCCCTTCCACACAATGCAACCTATTGTCACAGTAAACAGCTGCATCCAACTCCTCTTGTACTGCACTGCAAAGACCAAGCGCCCAGCAGCCAGCACCATGCACACTTTTGATGCACCATGCACCGGTATGCAGCAATCTCCCACTACGCCTTTGATTGCTCCGGCTTGTCCTCGATTGGCACAGAATCCGTGACTTCCATTTCGCCCTTGACAACATTGCTGACCCTCGGCTCCTCCGCTCCCGAATCCGCGCCCCCCGCGGCGGCCGGGCCGGCCGCCATGCCGGCCTTAGCATCCCATTTCTTTCAGACCTTTGCTTGCTCCGGCTTGTCTTCGATCTGCACAAGATCCGTGACCTCCACTTCGCCCATGACAACATCTCCAACCTTCGGCTCCTCGGCGTCCGTATCCGCGGTTGAGGCCGGCCCAGCCGTCTCATCGGCGCCAGCCGCTGCGCCGGCCCCGGCCGGGTACGGCACCGCTGGCGGCCGCGGCCCGGCAGCGAGCACTGCCGCCTGCAAGTACAAGCACTTGCTTTCAAGATCCACATTTCAACAACCTCAAAATACGTCTTGGGACCGGGCTGCAGCAAGTGGCAGCATCTTCCCATGACACAGTGCCGAAGCGATGCACAACATGCGGCCCCAGCCGTAGCTTTCCACAGCTACAGAAGCTGAAAGAAGCCTGCAAAGCAGCTTCATTGCTATTCGAGACGCGCCTATGCACACACAGCGAAGGCCGCTAAACATTGCGTCTTGGCAGGCCGAGACAGCCTGACAGCACAGGCACCAAGAAACTTACTGCAGCTGATACAGCCCCAAAGAGAGACAATAGAAAGGAGGTAAAGCACACCTGCTGGGCAGCCAGGGTGGCGTTGTGAGTGGCGACCTCCCACTCTCGAGTCATGGCGGCCACCAGTCGAGCCATGTTCTCCCGCCCGGCTATCAGCAGCGGCTGGCCCACGTCCTCCACTCCCCGCTCGCAGCTCTGCAGCAAAGCAGAAGCAGAAGGAGTAAGGATATTGCAGCGGGTGCGCCATGAAGATAGATCGCTCATTCCAGAGTTCAGCACACATTTTATTGCACTGAACATCCTTGTTCAACGTCCTGACATCCCAAAGCTGTGGCCAACACTTTCTAGATCACCAAGGCTGCAATAATGTGCCACATGACACGCACAAGAACGTACAGCATCCCATGGACGCCAGGCGACAGTGCATGCTGGACTTCTCCTTGACTTGACCAGCAGCAGAACTCGAACCTTCCATGTGCATGACACTTTCTGACCAGGTCTCATGAATCAGAAAGCAAATCTGTAGTTTTGGAATTTCTACTTTGAAATCAAGTTTAAGCTTCAATTTCAGGGTGTAAATCCCCGCACCTGCCAGTATTCGGTGGGGTGCAGCGCCAGTTGCGTGGGCCGCTCGCAGAAGAGGCGCATGGTCGGCGCCAGCTCATAGCAGTTGGCAAACAGCGACAGCCGCCCGAAGACGTACAGGCCCAGCCGCGCACGACTCATCGCCACGACCAACCGGCGCACGTCGCGAACGTGCCCTACCGCGCGCGTGCGCACGAGAGAGAGCAGCACGTACTCGTTCTGCTGCCCCTGGTACTTGTCCACCGTCGTCACCTGTGTTTGGGCATTTTTGGGTATAGAACTTGAAACAGGTTTGTGAGACGGTGGACAAGGCAGCCAATATGTCGGTGCTCACAAGTCACACAGCTGTACTGTACATAGGTCAAGCATGCATACTTCCGGGTCAAGAGGATGTCATGGGATTGCTAAAAACAAGGAAGGCAGGATGAATTCTCCCGATGATGGACACTCAAGCGCTACTACCCATGCCATGTTCTTGATACGCTCGGTCATGATTGCTCTCTGAAGGGATCTTAATCACAAGACGGGCGTCTGGGTGTGACCGCAGCATCACTGCACCCGTCATCTTGCCCCATGATGGCTTTTCAGCAGTTCATGCAGCAACAGCGCGCCAATGTGAGGTTTACTCATTTGGAGCTGTTGCTGAAGCCCTGATCGGCGCGCTCTTGAAATACCGCCCCAAAACAGTTATGTATAGCTCTCGCGCCTGCGGACTTGGAGCAGGCAGCTGCAGCACAAATAGGCCTAAAATCAAAGATCCACAATTTGGGCGCACCTTGAGGGGCCGGCCGAAGGCGGGGTGGCGGGCGCAGCGGGACTCGATGACGTCTGAAATGAGTGCGCGTTGGCCGTTGTACGTTGTCAGAATGGAGATCTTGTCGGCCGGGTAGCCGCGCAGCCGCATGTACTGGTACACCGCCACCACTTGCTCCGCCTCCCCCAGGTTCTGCGCACGCACAAAATCAAATTCAAAGTCACAGTCGGAGAAAATTGAGGAGCACGTCAGGGATTGCTGTGAAGATTCGGACACTGAAAGCGGAAACTCATGACTCGGATATTATATGCTTGAAGGGTTTCCTAAGAGGATCTGAAGGGTGCTGAAGCGGTGGGAGTGCCACAGGGCAACGGCGGTGTAACAAGAGGGGTAACTGAAGGGACCTAAAGGCTGGTGAAATGATTAGAAAACCGCTTGCAGGATGGGAACAAGGGAATGATCTGCTATGTGTCCAGAGCCTCAAAAAGAAACATTTCCAATGCTGCTCTGGAGATGTCCCTCATGGAAGATCTTGGACAGACAACAGATCGCCACCACCACTGACCACCCATCAAGTGACAGTGATGTCGCCAGCCTTGCAGCCTGCACCCTCAACACCTAACAAATGAGACTCTAATACACTCTGATAAGCCCGTCAGTCAGAACAACCTGCCTGTTTAAATCCTGTATCATGACATAGCTTCAAATCACTTGACTTTTCTTCTCTTACCTGGTAGAAGTGGGGCACAGGGGTGGACTCCCCCTGCCCCTGGTAGTCGCCCACGTCGACAAATTGGTAATCGTACGCGAAGCCGGCGTTGGCGCGGAGGAAGTCCGGTCCAGTCAGCACGTTGGGCAGATCGCCCAGATCCTTGTAGCGCCAGTTGTACAGCTGGGCCAGGCTCGGCCGCGCCCGCCCCTGGACATTCGAAATCAAACATTGGAAGTCAGTAAAATACAGGGGGTCAGTAAATTAAACAATGCTATGGTGAATTATCTATGCCTCCGACTTGGCTACCGGGTTTGTTGCCGGTTGTCCAGGCGCATGGGATCCTGCAATTCCCCAGCTTAGCACCTGCACCCTTGAGCAGGGTTATGGTCGCGGTTGTACGCGGACTGCCAGAAGGCACACCAAGCAAAGAGCAAGCCGCAACAAAGTCCTCCAGGTGCATCACATCCTACCATATTCTTAAGCATGCTGTTAGCTCTTCAGTGCATGCTGAGCAATCAGCTTGCAGGATTGAGGTGCGATGAGATCCACAAAACCATACAGAACAAGGCGGAGCCACAAGGGTCTGGAAACTTGTATGGCAGGAGCAAAAAGGGGAGGGAACTGGGCGTTCAGCTAGAGCGTAGGGGGTGCCCAAGGCATGCAGAGATGAGAGGTGCGAGTATCCAACCAATAAGATTGACTTTTGCATTTGGCAGATGTCACATTCCATGGTCTCAAAAGACTGCAGATGTGAAGGTGGTGCTGTATTTTTGGTCATTCGCCATAAGGCGAATGTCCTTTACGATCGGTCAACCTGGTACGGATTATCTCTATCTTTTGCCCCTTCCCTATGCCATGTGGCTGCTCGTGAGGCGGCCACGGCACATAAACGGAACGCGAGGCGCAGTTTAGAGGCCTTTCCGGGGTGATTGCCCCGTTTTTGGCCCTAGATTATCTCTAAATATCTCCCTGGCGATTGGCTTTACGGGCTTGCGACTGGTTCTGCCCCCCAGCTCGCATATGACCTCGTGGCCGCCCGCGGGCGCTCCCACTTGTGTCCATGCATTCCGAGTAAATAGTGTATTATGGTTGTTTCAGGGACCTTGGGATCGATTTCCCCCTTACATCGGACGCCTATGAGCTCGAAAGCAAGATCGCCACAGGGGGTTCGGGCAAAGAGCCACCTGCTCATTGCCCCACAATAGAAAGAGCCCATGTAGACCAAGGGGTGAGAAAGAAAGCAAAGCACCTGGGCATTGAGTTGGACATAGAGGGGTGCCAGTTCTGCAGAGAAGAGGTTCGAGTGGTCTGAGTATCTACCAACATATAGGTGGATTGATAGCCACCTGCTCACGGGCCCGCAGAAGTAAAAGGTCCTATAAAGGGTTTAGGGTTTTGAGTTTTAGGGTTTCAGGTAGAGCCTAAACCCTAAATAACCCTAGAAAAGGGGTTCAAAGTAAGCAAAGCACCTGGGCGTTGAGCTGGACGTAGGGGGTCCCGAGGCGGACGAAGCGGGTGAAGAGGGACTGGTCTAGGTGGCTGTACTTCTGGAAGGCCATGTTCTTGACCACCGGCGGCAGCTGGTGGTGATCCCCTATCAGGATCACCCTCTTCAACCTCGCCACTCCATCCTCCTGGTTCTGCGCACATGGGAGGAAAAACAAAGGGTCAGCTCAATGCTGAACATTCAGAACATTCGGGGCGCAACCAACTTATCTCCAATGTGAATTTAGCTGTGCCAATTCTTGCACTTTGTCGCCTGTGCAGATAGAGGTGTGTAATAGTTCCAGAGCGGGAACGCAGGGAGGCACTGTGAGCATCGATTCTGCACTCCACCTGTCTAAATGCAAGGCGGCTCTGCTTGAGGCCTCAGTACAACTAATGCATCACTGTGCAGAGCCCACCTTTCCTCACTTTCGTCATCAGGCATGTACAAGCCGGCCAAGCCTCGGAGAAAGTGAGTTCAAGGGTGAACAGAAAAGCTGTCTTTATGGAGCTAGATATTGAGGAGCGCACCTGCAGCAGCATGGGGATGAATGTCTCGATCTCCAGGATCTGCGCCGATTCCTCCATGAGCAGGTTGTCAAACTTGAAGCCCAGGTCCATGAACTCGCGCCGCTTCAGCGCTGCGTGCGTGCATGTCATCGCCACGATCTTGGCCTGCTTTGTCATCAGGTAGTTCACTCGGTCCGCCTGGCCCTGCATGCGCACCAGATCAGGCGTCAGAATTGCGTGCACCAATTCACGTAATCGCAGTTATCCTTGCCAGATCAGGCGTCAGAAGTTGCGCCAAATCAGGGCATGGGGACAAAGCGCCAAATAAGCACTGGACCACCGGACGCCAGACCAGGCGCTGAGCAGGAGGCCAGGTCAGGTGAATCCCAATTTACGCCAAATAAGGCACATGCAAAATAGGCGGGACAACGCCATGCATGTCATGCGGTGCCATGCATATCACATGCAATGGCTCCGCTCCGAAACCTCAGCTACAAGATGCTTTCTGGCTCAGGACAAAAATGTCAAGTTTGAAATCGAATTCGGACCTTGAGCAGTTCAAAAGCGCGGCACTCCTCGAGCTCCTGGAACATGGTGCGCAGGTGGCGCCAGCATCCCTTCGCGCGTTCCATGTCAGCCACGTAATCCTCGCCCGTAAACAAGACCCCCGGCGCGTCTGCGAAGTACTCCTTGAACGGAAAGAGCTCCTGCGCAGCAAAATGGGGCAAGAGCGTCAAAATCTCAAACGCATTTGCACAGGGGCTGGCACTCAACAGACTGATTTGACAGCCTTCTTGGCATTCATGCAATATGCGCAAAAGATATCTGTCCTGGAGGAAGGTGCGCGCGTGCAAGATTTCCAGATGAGCGCATGCATGCAAGCTACACAGGCTTGCCCTGCAAGAGGCTTAGGACTTGTATAACCCTGACAGACGCATGGCCACAAGGCATGGCACTCTGACTAGCACACAGCAACATCTGCCGTTCACTGCTTCAAGCATTAGTGGACAGTGGCACCCCCCCAGAGAAGAGCAGAAGAGAGAGCTCACCTTGACGCACTCGGGCGTCTTCTTGGTGCGCACGGAGGCAAGGAATTTCTCCCAGCGCGCCAGCACGTGCAGCAGCCAGAAGTGTGCGGCCGTCTCGCAGGTGTAAGATACGTCCTCCGCCACGCCAAAGTGCTTGGCCATCTGCTCCACCTGATTAAGCAAGACAAGGGACGCTCAACACCTCTCAGCTACAGAAAGAAGAAAATCTAAAGGGATTCTCTGTTTAACCGCTCACAAGAGAGCCTCTTTGACACTTGATAGAAAACCTCCTTAGAGTTCCCTGTACACGGCTAGCGGGCGGCCCACGAGAATTTTAAAGCAAAAGTTTCGCTCCAAAACCTACTTTATCGACATGAAGTATTTTGTACTATTCTTCACGAGGTGCAGCCGTGAATGAGTCTCTGAGCATTTTATGTGTCCCCTGAGGGCGACTGTCCCATTCCAGCAATCAAGGAGCATGCAGCAGGCAGGCCTATAAGAGCGTTCAGTCAACTTCTGCCCGAGAGAGCGCTGCTTAAACCTTGCATGCATGCTTTTCAACACTGCAGCAATTACACCAAACGTGTCAGGCTTTGCAAACATTTGGGGGCTGAGAGGAGATGCCACTAGCTTGGGATTTATAGGGGTTTGTTGGTATGGCAGCTGGTGGCGGTGTGTCGGATGCAGCACTGCAAGCTTACTCTGGTGCCCTTCATCGAGGCGCGCTCAGGGCAGCTGCGCATCATGGGCTTCATCATCTCCGATGAATAGGAAAAGGAAGACTGAAGGTCTCTCTGAGCAGCCAGGGGACTTGTCAAAGACCAAATCCAAGGCAAAACCAGAATAATCAACAAGTTTTACCTCGGCGAGCAGTTCGAGGCGGCGTGCGAGCATGGCGTTGACTCGGCCGACGCGCGAGAAGTCGAGCGTGGTCGCCAGCTCAGCCTCGCCCATGCCCAGCCGCAGCAGGTACCGCGCCGGCACGTCGCGCTGCAGGATCTTCTCAAACAGGTCATTGAGCGCCTGCGGTGCACCAACCAAGCGTCAGTGTAAGTTTTACGCGGTTCCCGCCAAGAAACAAGATGCGTCTACAGACGAGCTGCAGGTCAAGGCTATCCCTTGTTGGGACTCGCCGGATCCAGACGGGCCCCAATGACACAACGCTCAGGATCCTCACCGCCGCCAGCATTGAGAGGTCCCTACCATGGAGAAAGTGCAAAGCAGCATGCATCAATTGACCACAGCTACCGAAGTCCTTGTGATCCAAGGGAAATAGACTTGGTGCACTTGATTGCAGAGCCAGCAGCGCGGCGCACGCTGCCGGAAGGGACAGCAAAGCCTCGACAGCAGTCTATGGACTCTGAAGAGGGGCATTGAAAATGAAGCGACAGCCACCCATTTGTGCCCCTCTGTGCAGCCCAGCACAACCCTGCAGTGTGTTTTTCTTTTTAGTGACATCTGAAGTGACATTTGCGGCAGAAGATGCACACCTGGTTGGAGTGTGCGATGAGGAGGGTCCGTTGGTCGGGGCAGTTGTGGTAGAGCACGTGCATGATCTGCACGGCAGTGTCCGTTTTGCCCGTACCGGGGGGACCCACCACCATCGTCAGCCCCGGCTGCGTCCCCGCCTTTATCGCCTCCACCTGCGCAAGAATTGAAGACACACTCAGAAACGCTTGATTATTCACACGTGTGTTGGGGTGCAGGGTTTAGGGTTGAGCTTGACCGCTAAGAAATTGATTGTCTGTTGCTCATGATAACTGATCAGCGCACAGATCATGGATCATAGATGGACCAATTTAAGGTAATCCTAGGAACCCTGCTGAGCTGCGCAATTGGTTGGCCATCTACACGGTGCAAGCTACAGCTTCTGCGAATGAGAGATTTTGAGGTATTTGAGAGACCCATGTCAGCGAGGAAGGTAGGCGGAAAATGTCGCCATGACAAAGTGGGAAGGTGAGTACCTGGACAGGCGTGAACCTGACTTGGTTCTCAGGAGGCTTGTCCTGCGGGTAAGGGCCGGGGTCGGGCGGCGCGTAGGACTCCGCGATCAGCGTCTTTGCATCGGCCGCCTCTGCCGCAGCCGCGCCAGCCGCCTGCACCGCATTGGCTTCATGTAAAGTTACCTGGTATCTCCCAGGTTTTTGTGACCAAGGTTCAAGCACAACGAAAGTACCCCCTTGGCTTTCGGGCAGGTGATACTGATCATGGCTTGACAAGCACAGCAGACGCCATGTGACTGCAGCAGATGTTTCACCCAGCCCTTTTAGTGGTACATGGTTGGGAGGTTTAGACACCTATTGAGAAAGGGCAAAATGTCACACTGGATAAAGAACGATGTTTAGAAGGCAGTGACTCTGGCAAATCGCTCCAGCGTTGTCTCTTAGGATCTGACCCCATTTCATCTTTGGCATAAAAAAATCTGTGAAGGGAGCTAAAGCAGCTGCGCACCTTGCGCTTGCCCTTGGCTTTGGCGGCCTCGGGGGCAGGCAGGGGAGGGAAGGTGATGCGGAAGGGCCGCACAGGGTCGGGGCCGCCGCTCGCGTTGCGGATATCCAACGTGTACCCCGGGAAGCTGTCGCGCAGGTGCTCCGCATCCAGGAAGGTGTCCTGCGCATGCATGCACACTTTCCTTCATGAACTGACCTGCCAACTTTGCGTGGACCTGTTGACCAAGTACTGATTTGCCAATGAGTGTTGGCACTACCATCCCCGTCCTGATTTGAGGCGGATTGCGCCAATTTCACAATGCAATATTGCGTTCGGCCATCGCCATGGAATGTCCTCTGGGAGCGCTTCCCAAAGCAGCCTTCATTATTCTCAGAGCGTCGGAATTTTGAAGATTTAAAAATTACATTCCGACCCTTTTTGAAGATGTTTACACAAATTCCGACTATTTATGAGGCCGAGTAAGGTGAGAGTGAAAGCAAATAAAAAAGAGATTGGCCGGCACCCCACTTCTCTACTGGCATGCCTCACCTTGTTGCCTGCTGCTCTTCCAATAGAGAACATTTCTTTCTGTGTAGGAGATCCCTACGAATATGGGAGACCTCCACCTGTTCTGCTCCATAAAGGGAACAGATTCCCTGTTCCCTTGAGGCCCCTTATGGGGGGGGCGTTTCCCTGCGACCCACCTTGAAGTCGAGCGTGCGCAGGTAGGAGGCGGGAAGCTGGCTGTACTGGGCCGCGGCCGGGTCGCCGTAGCCGAGGAAGATGTCGTGCAGCCAGTCCGGCAGCACCGTCTCCTCGTTCATCAGGTCCCGGATGCTCTCCAGCACCGCCTTGAAGTTGTTCTCCTGCGCGCGCATCGCTCAAAATCAAAATCAAATTCCGCAGCCGCCAGAAATGGGAGCGGATCCTGCTGCATGCTTGCCAAAAGCCGCTCATCACCGATGCGCGCCACTCTGGAGCAGCAGCAGCAGCTGGCATGCAGACCTCCTGGCATAAGAGCTCCAGACATGTGCCTCTTTCGGATCACAGGCGCATGCAACCTGCTGCTCTAGAGAGAGATCACAAGTACATTTTTCACGTGCAGCTATCTGAAGTCCTGCCTGGCGGGGGTTGGTATATATACTGAGCACTGTGCCCACGGTTGAGTGGACTTGCTTGGATCTGGTAATTAGCAACTAGAGGTACTAGGCAAAAGAACTTCTGCAGTCTTTACATGCAGCTTCTCTGCAAATGCAACTTGACTCTCGGCAGGGAAAGGGAGTGAAGATAACAGTGATAATACCCCCCCAGCAACCCCGCGCCAGCCCCAAGCTGGCCTGCCCACCACCACATTTCCCCTGATTGCAAAGCAAGTCTTATGAATCTGCAGAGGCCCCACCTTGGGCTTTCGGCGCATGAGGACGTTGAACGACGAGTAGACATCCTCGGTCTTGTGCGCGGCCATGGACTCAAGCTAACACCTCAACCACCCGCTAAACCCCCTAGCGATTTTGAACGATGAGTACACATCCTCGCTCTTATGCGCGGGCATGGCCTCCAGCTGTCCTCTACCACCAACAAACCACTGAACTCCCCTAGGAACGTCGCGCTAGAAAATCAAATGAGGCCCACCTTGGGCTTTCGGCGCATGAGGATGTTGAACGACGAGTAGACGTCCTCGCTCTTGTGCGCGGCCATGGACTCCATGTCGATCTGGTACTGCGCCGTGTCGAGCGCCACGGTCAGCGTGCGCTGAAAACCCGAGGGCGGCTTCCACTCATCGCGCTTTATGCGGCCCGTGAAATCGTTCATCAGCCGCCCATCCTCGTCCTTCACCTGTGGTGTCACAATGGTATGCGGTTAAGAGATGGAAAAAATGAGTTGGTTGAGTAGCCATGCAGGCATATGGGCAGCCACCATGCCACTAATGCTGGAAGGTGTGGTAAATTATGTCATTACCAGCGGCATGCAAGGTTAAGGAGCCATGCTCGAGAGCTCCAAGGGTACACGCAGCAGTTCTCAGACCTTTACCAAATACAGCACGGGTCCTGTCAAGATGGCACAGATGCAAGCTGCGTTCCACGCACAAGAGAAAGTATGCAACCGCTGCCAGTCCTTGTGTAAATTCAAGCCACCACTTCTTCCAAGGCTGACTAACAATCCATTCAAACATCCGCACACCTATCACAGAAGCCTTTACAAGTGACCTTTCCCTCCCTTATAAATTTGTATACTCCTACTTTGATGACTCACCTCGATGACTTCGGCACCCCTGACGTACACGAGCCCGTAGGTGTCGGCAGGCGACAGCTCAGCGCCGTCCGAGCGCATCATCCGAAGTGTTGCCTGATCTGGCGGCCGTACAGTCAGCAGAAAGACCACGTCGTGCTGCTTCATGTCGTCCCATTCCCCTCGCACGTCGCCCCTCAGTTCTGCGGGTGAATGACAAATGTTCAGTAAATATGTTGCCGAGCGTTGCTTTGTTGGTAGCAAGCTTTGACCCTGCGCACGTCGCCCCTCAGCTCTGCTGTTAAATATCAAATGTCAAGTGAACCAGAATATACTTCCTCTTTAGTTGAGTGCCAGAAAAGGAGTCTGTGCATATTTAGCTTGGATTGCGCACGTTCATTATCAGAGCATTGCCTTGACTATGCCAGCATTGGGTCTACCTGTTGGGCATGCGCGGTATGTAGCTTCTCAACAGATAATGAGAAATAAATGTACACTGGCAAACAGAATCCGGGGTTAACAGCAATGTGGTCATTCAGAAAGGCGTTCTGGGTGAGGAGAGCAGTAAAGGAGCTGGGGTAGTCGGGACAGCATTGATAAAGCAATGTTGCCATTATTGGCTCAGCCGCGCAGTGCTTTCCTCACACAGCGATGCCCGGGCCCTCCCGAGCGCAGAACCAAACTGGGAGCCACTGCCCACATGCAAGCACACACATGCACACAGGCGCAGTTTCCTAATTCCTAAGTACCCCTTACCTTAATTCCTGAGTACTTCCCGAATAACCTGCCAAGCAGGCCTCAAAACAGAGAGCAGGGTAGCTGCAGCCTCACAGGCGAGACTCGCATGGAGAACTGCTCAACATCCCCAGACTCATCAATTGAAGCGCTAGACAAAGGGCTAGAAGATAGATGACCCTAAAAAGGAACTAGAGCCATCATCCTGTCCAAGTTCTGTGACTACCCACAAGAAATGTTCTATGAAACACTTCTGTTTAGGGTTTTAGAGTGTATGGCTTTAGGGCTTAAGGGCCATTTCCATTATAAATACTCACGGGGAATGCAAATTGGATTGGGTGGATTTAGGTTTTGGTGTCAACGAAAGGTCAGAATTCTATGTTCATTAAGTCTTGTAAGATCGTTTTCTGCATTTGACTGCATGGGGACTAATCGCAGAGCATGGGTGACTCACTGGAGGTGTCGAGGGTGATGTCAGCGGTGACGGCGGCCGGCTTGTTCTCGCCAACGCGCGGCTTGCGAACCTCGACCACGTTGAATGCCTGCAACGGCAGCGCCATTCGCGCCCAGCCCCGGAACGCCACCCGCTCCTCGCCATCGTCAGTCTCCTCCCTGCGCGCATCAACGAAATACCATTAGTCATCTGTAGGAATGCCCCGGCCGCGGCTGGCGGGGGGCGGTACAAATACCGAGCACCGTGCCCACGGTTGATTGGGTCTTGCTTGGATCTGGCGAGTCCAACAAGGGGTAGGAATTTGGCAGCCTTTACATGCAGCTTGTCTGCAGACGCACCTTGCCTTCGGCAGGAAAAGCGTGTAACAATAATAATAGTAATCATAATAATGCCCATCCTTGGCCATCAGCATTTCCCTGGCCAGCTCCGGCCGCTGGGCGCGGCTCGTGCAAATCTGTGCGGACATGAGATGGGAGTGGCGACCATAAAGTGCCCCGACTGGCGGCGGGCGGTATAAGTGCTGAGCACCATGCCCACAGCTGATGGGTCTTGCTTGGACGTGGCGAGTCCAACAAAGGGGTAGGATTTTGGCAGCCGTTTCTATCTGTCTGCAGACGCACCTTGCCTTTGGCAGGAAAAGCATGTAATATTAATAAGGATGACTCACCAGGAGGAGGACACGCAGGAGAGCACATTGCCGGTGTCCTGGGTGGCCTTGAGGGGTGCATAAGAAAACAATCCCTCCCAGGGGTGAGTAATGGGTTCAGTAATAAATTACTCACCAGGAGGCGGACACGCGCGAGAGAACGTCGGCGATGTCCTCGCGGATTTCGTAGGTGGCCTCGAGGCGGAAGAGGCTGAAGTTGCGCAGCAGGTAGTCGTGCGCCGTCAGGAACTGCAGATTCAGCTTGGGCAGCGCCAGGCACGTCTCGCCTGCGCAGACCATGACCATTTGCATCATTAGACTTCAGATCCAGAACGGACACACGGCTCTCTGCAAATGCAGGTGCCGCACATGAAGAGCCCCTCTCAGAATTGCCGCTCGTTTGCGCAGTGCACAGCATCCAGCCCGGCAATGTATGGACAGCCTTGAGGGCAATTGACAGCTCTTGACATTCCTGCACGTGCCGGTGCAAAGCCTATATGAGCCCTGAAACAGGAGACGACAATGGTGTCACCAGGGACCCAGAAGCCAGAGACCATCTCCCGCATTTGCATGCTTGCCAAGTGCACACTCTTCTCCCACTTAACAAGCATGCAATTGCAAGCGTTCCTCGCTGGTTTCAAAGCTTGCGCCCCTTGTCAAGAGACTCCGCTCGTCATGTTACGCAAGCCATTGACACGCGATGGCGACATGCTTATCGCACCTCCTCCCTGCTGCGGCAAGATTGCCAGCAGGCAGGTGGTACATCGCACCCCCATAAACAACACCCTCTAAAATCTACTCCAAAAGGGGTGGATCAAAGGGAAAGGAGGCGCTCACCTGTGTAGTGCACCTGGGGAACCTGGTTGTCATCCCACAGGATGGCTTCTGTCGGGTACAGCGGCATCGCATTGACAACCTCTGTCTGACTTCGCTGGCGCTCGTAGCGGCTGATCACCACCTCCGCCAAAAACTCGGGGTCCTCCGCCCACGGATCATCCTCCGCCACAAGCCTGGAGTAGGAATACAATCTCGGCAAGATGAGGCATGCATGCACAACAGGTCATGCCCGGGCAGCCCCCCTAGAATGGGCAAACACGGCTGATTTAAGTGACTATTGAACGCTATTGATGGTTCATCAGACCCTCCCCCTTGCTCAGCAAGCCGAGCACGGCCTTGCTCTGATGCGCTTGCGCATCAAGGGCGGGTGGCCATCGAATCCCCTGCTGCTGCAACACAACAGAACATAGCCAGCACCGTTCAAGGTCTCCCGAGCCGTGGGCAAAGGACCCGGTTATCAACCGTAACGATATGTCACTGCGGACAATGCCATAATGCTACAATGCTATAGAGCTAATGATGATGGTACAGAGAGGCGGACCTGTGTCTACAAGAGGTGCCACTGACTAAGTGCTCACTGGACAACTACAGAACCTTGGCATTTTCTGCTCTTGGCTGCATGTTCAGGATTTAGACAGTGAGGAAAGCTCAAGTTATGGCAGACCACAGCATTGCCATACTGAGCATTTTCGGGAGTATAAAAATAGCTATTGGATAGTTAGCCATGCAGCAGTCAAGCTCCGTAAGAACACCAAGAATCCACATGGCGCTGGTTGCAGTGTCATATGTTCCTAGCGTGTGTGCAAAACCAGTGATCTGCATGACACAAATGCAGCAGAGAGGTATAATCACCTGAGCTGCTTGGTGACGAGCTTGGAGAGCTGGTCTTTGTCAAGCCCAGTCAGCGCGGGCTGCAGCACCGATCGCTTCTGCAGCGTCCCACAGTTTGCCAGCGCCAACTCGCGCAGCTGCGCAAGCCATCGCACCGACGTCGGCAACTTGATGTAAATGACATCGTGAAGTATCGACGCACTCTACGGCTTGCCCCCCCCACAAGAAACTTCTCAAGGTATTCATAATGCACTGGGAAATTATGCATGTGGCAAAGGCTCTGTCCTAGCAGATGTGGATGACCACCAGTGGAAGCTGCTTGGGCAACTATACAGCATATGCCAACCCTCAACTCCCAAAAACCTAAGCATCAATTGTGCTAGCCTGCGTATGCACATGCAGCAAAACAATACCTGAAGGAGGCCGTGGCCACCTATTACTAATTGGCCCCATAGGTGCCAGCTTGACCTGCTGAACATCGGAGGCGCCTTGGTGGAAGGAAGAAATACAAAGACAGGCCAGGCTCGGTCATGAACATGCTTGCAGAGAACGCTGCAAGAATGAAAGTTCACCTGCGGGTGGTGCTTGAAGAGCAGGCGTTGGAATTGAGTTAGGCGCTCGTACTGCGCGGCGACCACGGCCGCGTCCGAGAGGGGTTCGCCGCTCTGGTCGTCGATGGGGAAGTACTGGTAGAACTGAAACAGGTCCACCAGCTGCCGGTACAGCTGCCCTGCAGGTGCCAACAGCCCGCGCATGATCAGGATCTGTTAAAAATGGAAATGACCGTGCGCATTGTCATCCTAATAGGCAAGGCAGTACGTAAGGCACAAGGCAACAGGTCCACCAGCTGCTGGTGCAGCTGCCCTGCAGGTGCCAACAGTTCGCGCCTGATCAGGACCTGCTGGTGGTTCTACCACTACCCCTCTAGCAAGCTTCCGACTCATCACGCACACTGCAACCTTGGCCGCCAAATTACACCCCAAACCCGGAAATGACCGTGCGCTTTGTCACCCTACCAGGCAAGGCAGTGCGCAAAGCAAAAGGCAACAGGTCCACCAGTTGCCAATACAGCTGCCCTGCAGGTGCCAGCACCCCGCGCCTGATCAGGGCGTGCTCTTTGTCATGATACAACAAGGAGACTCATGCCGTTGAGTCAGTGCTCTGAGCACGGACACGCGCAAAGCAAAGGGCAACAGGTGTTTTGAATGTCAATTGCGTGGCTTATTTAGCAAGATGCTGCGCAGCCACGCCGTTGACAGGGAAGATACGTGCCATCCTTTGGCACACGGCACATTAACAAGTTTTCAAGGCATTTATAGCCCCCTGGGGACCCCCCAAGAACCTCTGGCGACAGTGAGAAATGGTAGGTTCTGCAGCGGAAGGGGTGCCTCAAAACAACACATACTGTGAGCCCTGTCTCCGGCATGACGGCTGATCTTGATCAGGAGTTTCAAGGTAGCCTCGCACCCCCTAGGGACGCCATGATTACCTCTGGCACAAGTGGGAAGTACAGACTTCTGCAGCACAAAGGGTGATTTGTGTGAGCCCTGTCTACTGCATGACGGTGGCTTGGGGACAAACCTTCGGGGTGCGTGAAGAGGGACGACATGCGGGCCTTTATGAGGATGGCCTTGTCCTCCAGGAGAGTGCGCACGAAGCGGCGGGTGGGCAGCTGACTCAGCAGGTCGATCAGCAGCTCAGCGAAGCGCTCGCAGTAGAGCAACCGTTGCCTGTCCAGGCGCGCGTCGCCCCCCGCTCCGTTGGCGGTGGCCACCTCCGGGGGGACCACTGACTGCAGCATCTGCAAAAGAGCATCTCATGATCAGTCATCCGTCAACAGCTCGGTGGGATTGTGACGGGTCTGCAAAATGAATGCGTAGTTCTAGCTGCAAGAAGCTTGCTGACCAGTCATCTCGGAAAGATTGCCTTACTCTTATGCTGTTCTGCGCATATAATGATCTGATCTCGCAAATGCACCCCTGCCGGCCTATTTGGAAACAAACCCTGAATAAGATGGTTCTTTCTGCAGTTCTGCATTTCTGCCCGTCTGCTTGCAAACAGGGCTACTGGGGGGCAGCATTCAGCCTCCCTTCAAAGGCAAAGCTCAAGGCTGTACCACCCACCTCCAGGAACTCATCTAGCAGCGATGGCAGGAAGGTCGCTTCCGGCCGCTCAGTCACAGGCACATGCGCCGATTTGGCGTCCCCGGCCGTGCCGTCCTCCGCCGCAGCTTTTGCGGCCGCCGCCTCCTTCTTTGCAAGCCGCTTCCAGTGCTTTGCCAGCGTCTCATTCGCGCCTAGCTCCAGCTACAAAGCAAAGGCAGCTCATCAGCATCAGATCTATCACCATGCAGACTGTGTCAAAACGGTAGTACAAAGCACCATGTATGGTGCTGAGGCCAGACAGCACCGCGAGTTACAGGCCCACGTGACACTGAGAGCCCAGTAGAAGAAAGCCGTTGCAGGGAGACTGACCTGCAGGCGCCCCCGTGAGAGGGCATGCCAGAGCGGCAGGGACACAAGCTGCAGCGCCTGCTTCCGCACGGCTTCCTGCTCCAGGCTCTGGAAGCAGTGGATGACGAAGAGCAGGTAGGTGACTCGCTCGTGCGTCTCCCAGCCCGTGGAGTTCTCTCTCAGCGCCAGCACCGCGCCAAAAAATGCCGCAAACTTTTCCGAGGGCCCCCCCGCAAAGCCGTCCCATGCCGGGACGTTCTCTCTGAACTTCTCCTTCACCATGGCCTGCACCAAATTGTACGCCTCAACACCTCGATCAATTCTTTAGTAGTGGGATCCTCTCGCAGGGAGGAGAGCACTGCCCCGGCCTGAAAATCCCTGCATGCTTACCTTTTCCTGCAAAGAGGCTAACGTTACATCGAGGGAGGAAACTTGTAGCAGCAAGTGCTCAAGGGAGCACACGCGCAATGCCAGAGCCGGCTCTGTCCTTCCGCTTTAGGTGTCTCGTGCATTATTTCCAGCATCTTCAGGCACTGAGACTACTTGTTGGGAGGCAGGCACGCACCAGGATGGACATGACATGGGCGTGGCTGGCGGTGGCGGCGTCAAAGTGGGGCCAGAGGTAGTTCTCCAGGTACTGCGAGATCTCCAGCAGCATCACCCGCTTCAGCTTGGGCGGGTGCACGCTGCTTCCCCCCAGCTCCCTCTTGTACACTTCCACAACCAGCTCCGGCCTGAATGCAGGCGGCTTTGCTTTGCTGCGCGCTGCGTTGGACCAATTCTCCTCCGCAACCTTTGTGAGTTGATCCGCTGCAATCTGCGCATTTGGAGCACTGCTTGCTCAGCACGAAAACGGCACGGAAAAGCTTGATGGCGTCCTGCTAATATTTTATTGATCTGCAGCGCTACGAGAGCGGCATCATGCTTGCGTAGCTTTTCCCTAATAAGACTTTGTACAAAACAGGATGGATGTTTTTCACCATCCTTGCAAATGTCACAGAGAGTAGCAGGAAATAGGCTGCCAAAGCCCTCATCAACAATACAATCATTTAGCATCAATAAAAAGAGTTGTAATGCTCGATGCTCACCTCTTCGAGCGTGAGGGAGGCTCCCATAGGTCTGTAGGAGGTGCTTGGCTCATCTGCCCCAGCTTTTGGTGTGTTATCTACCGCCTTTGGGCCTTTTCTTCTGGCCATAATCTAATGACCTGCTTGATGGAAATGTATATTAGCTGCGACTCCTGTGCAGCTGTCCAGAGATCGTTCACATCAATCTGCTGGCAACTGCAGACACTGCAGGAGACGAGACAGCCTTTGCACCCATCACCAACGTCTGAATGCTGTTTTCAGTGACAAAATGTAATTTGGTTCTCGATCAGTCAAGATGAGACGGGCAGATTGGGCATCTCAGTGTTGGCACTGGCCACCAAAGGCTGAAACGATGCCGAGATATTCCTAATTATGAACGAAGGGATAGGCTCAGCGTAGAAAATATTCAGTTGGGAATATACCAGTGTGTGTCAGTGGCGTATCAAATAAATTATCAGGCAAAGAAAGAAGCTGAGAGAATTTCCTCGGGAGGGCACGCCGTCAAGATCCAGCTGTCGAAACCGAGTTTACTGTCCGAAGTGCTCCGAGAAAGCATCTCATCTCTGATCCCGGTTTTATGCGCTACATTCGCGTTCAATTCCACGCTTGCATTCAACCAACGTGCTCTGATAGCTCCGTCGCTGCCAATCCGAGTGTAAGTGAGCGACAGCTCACGCTTTGAGCGCACCCGATCAAGCTTCTGGATCTGTGCCATTCGCACTTTGTCAGCGCGAGCGAGTTGTTATGGGCCGCATTGCTTGCTACGCGTAGCAGCATGCGCAGAAAGCCACGCAGACGGAGCCCAGAAACAGCAGATGCGCATTGACGACGCAGATGCTCTTCACAGTAAGGGGGTAAGGGGATATTCTCTCACTTAAATCACGAAATTGAGGTGTGTTTTGCATGTATCATGCGGCTCGTGCGCCGCTGCTAGTCAGCAGATTCAGGTTCGCCCGATAATGTCTTCTTTGTTCAAACCTCTCTTGCTGGAAAGAAATACTGCTCGACAGATGCAAAACAAATATGATCAGATATTGAAGGAAGTATGTACGAACGCGTGTGCGCACCTAATGCTCGGGTGCTTGCCGTATCAGGCTCATCCTGGCGCTTTAGTAAGGATCACTAGTACAATGCAGCCTGACTGTGGGATACGAACAGCCATGAAGCTCACAGTTAAAGTCTGCCATGCATGGTTTCAACAGGCTCAAGGCATGCGGAGGAGGCCCGCATCAGCACATTGGAGTAGGCAGCTGCTACTTGCAGCAATCCTTCTGGGTGCAGTGGGGTCAGATGCCAGGAAGCTCAGGCAGTCGGGGGGAGTGCGGATCTCCACCAACATCACCAGCTTCGTTGATGGGGACAAAGTGGAGGTGATCATCGCACTTGTGCACCTCCTGGAATTTAGGACAGAGCCAGTCTCATCGGACCTGGCTGTATAAATATAAATATAAATATAAATATAGGCCAACTGGAATTGTGGATACCCTCTTCAAATATGCAGCCAGCCAATATTTTGCAGCGTCAGAGTCTTGCCACCGCGTACCCAACTCTAATTTACCCCCAAGTCTGCCCATTCCAGACCCCAGGATGACACAGGAGCAGAGTCCTACTGCACCACCACAAACAAAGCAGCCCGGCATGCCTAAGCATGTGTTTACAATACCTGCAAGGAACAGAACATGCTGCGCAGATCAAAACTTTGAGGAAGTGTGCAATTGGCGGTGCAGGTGAGTTGGTCTGGCGTGCAGCGGCCGACAAATGCAGATGCGGTGGCGCTGTTTTTCGCCGGGGACAATCCGAATGAGCGCTCACCGCTCAAATTCAAATGGGCGTTCGCCTCCTCCAAGAGCTACCTGCAGACTGGAGCCGGTTCCCACACGTGAGTGCATGCGATCTGCCCATGTCCTAAATTGTCCGCTTGTGTCATTACTCAGGAGACCTGAGATGCCAGCTAGAGCTACGTCTTGGCTCAAGCAGCGATCTGAGGTCAAAGCTAGAGCAATGTTTACCTGCTGCCTGCATATGTGTCTACTGCCTTGAAGACAGTAGAAGGGTTGTACCGAGCCACAATGCACCTTGTTTTCAATGAATGCAGAAGGGTGTCTTGCAGCTGTGCAAGCTTTCATTGCTGCAAAGTGCAGGAAGCAGGCGTATGGCATGGGCAGGTTGGCTGCAAGAATGCAGATGAGGAAGTGACATTGCACGATTCTCTCAATATAGTATCACTTGTGGTGTGCAGGTTTCGGCTGCTGAACCAGCGGAAGGACGTGTCCTTTTTGCTGTTCTACAACGTCTCACTGACGACAAAATTTGGCACGGGCAACTTGCTGGCGCGCTCGGCGCCGATTGGGCTCAACAACCCCAATGACCCCCAGCATGTGCACCTGGCCCTGGGGGTCACCGAAGGGTACGATCGCGCGGTTGTGTCGCAAGACCACACAAATGACTCCTAAATCTGAGCATCATGAACAGTGACGGAGTGTTTCTGTTTGGCGTGAGCGACGCTTTTGCAAATACAGACGTCGCCGAATTAGGACACCTGTTGACAACGCTCATTGCCTGAACAAGCCGCTGACGGCTAGCATGCATTTTCACAGAACGATGATCGCGCAATGGACGACGCGCGATGCGGGCAGGCCGGCGGTGCGGTGGGGCGGGGAGCCGGGCAGCCTCGGGCAGGAGAACAGGGGGAGTTTCAGCACGTACACGCGGCTGCAGATGTGCGGCGCGCCAGCAAACTCCACCGGCTGGGTGGACCCGGGGTGGCTGAACTATGCGGCGCTGACCGGGCTCCAGCCTGGCACGCGGTATTACTACGCTGTCGGCGATCCGGTGAGCCATCATTGAATTTCTGCATGCAGCGTTGGCAGCTGCTTCAGTGATTAAGACTTTTAGGGCGTGCGCATGCTGTTGTCATCCGATGGAGACCGCTCCAGCGGGAAACGGAATGCACAGGCCGCACATGATAGGCTCACACGCGCTCATCATGCACACTGGGCATCGTCCTTGATGTCTGTACGGAGCAGGACCTCTTTTTGGGCATCTTCAGACCTGTTTGCTCATCTTGTGAACAGGCCCTCATCCAGGACAATCGCACACGACGTGTTGAGATCATTGTTGCAACAGGCGTGGGGTTTCAGCCGGGAGTTCAGTTTTGTGACGGCGCCGCGGGTGGGCCGGGACGCGTCGGTGCGGTTTTTGGCGGTGGCGGATTTGGGACATTCGGAAACGGACGGCAGCGCTGAGATAGACCACGACCAGGCCAAGGACATGCTCAACTACACCCCTGTTGACACTCTCCAATATGTGCGCGCACCCCTTTTTCACCCCCTTCTCCTACCCTCTCTTGAAGAATATACGATGCTACATAAACTTGCGTGAATTCAGGGTCCAGGAATTTGGTCTAGGATTTTTTTTTGTGGAGATTTATGAAGACCAGGCCAAGGACATGCTCAATTACACCCCTGTGGACACCTCCAACACGTGCGCGCACCCCTTATCTCCCCTTTAATGGGTTTGAAGTAGCACCCATTATGGGTCTGAAATTATGGTGTTTTTTTGGAGCACACAGCAAGTGTGCGCCATAGGATGCCCATGGATACCCTCCAATCTGTGCGCGCTCCCTTTCTCTTTCCTTGAAGTCTTCAGGCGGTACATTGGAGTTTTGAGGTGACAGCTTGACCTGCTTGAGTAAGGGCACCAAATAGAAAAGACAGGACTACCTTTTACTGCAATCTGAGACGGGGCCCATGATCTTGTTTGGAGGGAACTTGAAGTATGGTGTGGTCCATCATGACACCCTCCAATTATCTTGCCCGCTTGTTTTCCTTGTTGTTCTATTCGTCGGTTTTTGGTTGTGCACGTGATGTGTAGACAGCCCACCTGAGTGTGAGTGTCCTGCATGCTTCCTTATCTGCTTGTGCTTTCACTGCAAAGGGCAGCATGTCATTATCAACCATCAAAAATATGTGCAAGCTTAGCTGTGTGAGCTGTCCTTGAGCAGGGTCTGACCGTGCAGGTATTTGAGATGTTCTACAATTTCCTGGTGGACAGCGAGGCGCAGCAGGGGGCGTCATTGTATACGCTGCAGGGGTTGCTAAACAGTGCGGCCAATGCCTCGCTGCTTCTGCTCAACGGCGACGTCAGCTATGCCAGGCACGCCCCTGAAGACCGTGCCCCAACGTGAATCATTATTAGTAATTAATTTTGCTAAGGATTTGCATCATCAGCAATACTACAAGTGCCGTGCAGCATTCAATCCGTCCATACCTTCTTGTTCAGTAGCGGTGCCGATGAGTAGTTGGCTTGGGAAGAGCTGAGGGACAGGTTGCTCTGAAAAGTGGCTAGTTCTTGAACAATTGCAGCCCACCACTGGCAAGACAGTATCCTGATGCTGCATCACTTTTGCACACCTATTCAAAGATGAGTAGGCAGTAGAGGGCTCTGCAATGGAATCTCTCAATAGGAGGCTCTGAATTGAAAACTGCAAGAGTGGAGGCAGGGCAACCATGTGTTTGAGTGACTACATCCTGAGGAAAATTTGTCTCAGGGTGGTGAACCCGCTTAGGTAACCCGCAATCTCAGGATTACCTAACTGTGAACATGCGTGTTGCTTGGCGGTGCAGGGGCCAGCTGACGCAGTGGGATGTCTTCATGCATCAGATGGAGCCACTTGTCAGCCAGATGCCCTGGATGCTGACTGAAGGGGTGAGTCACAGTCACCCCACTCTTACTCACCCATGCGCATGCATGCATCCTCCAATGTTACATGTGTCCCTCAGCAGACATGCACTGTGGTAGTGAAGCCACTCTCAAAGAGGAATGCCCTGCATGCAACACGCACTGGCTCTCTATAAACGCAAACACCGCGCAGTTTGGCCATGGTAAATGGCCTGTACCTGCATGGTCTTGTGTATGAGAGCATAGTTGCACGACACCGCTCGACACGGCCGGTGTCGAACTCACTTAAATCGAAATAAATCAGAATTCAGCGCGTTTGGTGTGACATTATTGTTGCTTTCAAAAGCTATCGTCGCCAAACCGCAGAATCCGTCTTTAAAACGGCATCCAACGTTCGGGACGGCCTCCAAAGGGGGACACCGACACGCGCGTGTCGGGCCTAAACGTGCGGTGTCGTGCAACTATGTATGAGAGTAAGGCAGCATGGCTGAGCATGCTGTGCTGCCTGTGCAGAATCACGAGAGGGACTGGCCCTACAGCGGGGACCGCTTCCTAAATTTAGCTAGTGATTCAGGTGCGGCCCACACCTGTTTGCGAGCACAGCTCTCTCCTCCGTAATGTTTAAAACGTAGCTTCTGAACCTGCCGCATGAGTGCGATGAACTTGTTGAACCGAATTGTATCTTCCTCATAAGATCACCTGCATCTGCGTGGCCCAAAGACGGCCCTCATGTGTTGGCCTTGCAGAGCTTGAGCGGCCATACTCTCTGCACTTCCATGCAGCGTACATGCGCCTGCCATGCACATTTCTGTTGCTTGACGCCCCAACAATCATGTCCTTTCCTTCTCGTCATCCCTGCAATGCACAGTCATCATTCTCTTAATTGATTGGAGCTCCCTTCCCATGTGTCTCCAGGCGGGGAGTGCGGCGTTCCGTTCTGGCAGCGTTTCTTCATGCCGACGGGCCCTATAAAATGGGTGGACGCGCAGAGCCAGCGGCGCTCCCCCGAGTGGTTCTCCTTCAAGCACGGGCCAGTCCACTTCCTCCACATCTCCACCGAGGTCGATTTTGCGCCAGGCTCGCCCCAGTTCGAGTACGTTCCTTCACTTTCCTCCCCTGACATAAATCATTTCATTTGCGTACTGTCGAGTACATCAAGTTGGCCCCACTTTAAGTGCGACCCTTAAATTCACCTTTACTCCCTTGACATGCAATGTTTTGAAATCAAATATATCGCACCCCAGGTTGAGTGCGCCCCCTGCTTTTCCTACCTGGCATGCATCATTTATATGCTCAAGTGCATCAGTGATTCTCGATGTCGAAAGTGCCTCCACCCTCCCTCTGCTGCAGACTTCGGACCCCGCTTCACGAGACTTGTTCACGCATGGTACTGTACCAAGATGCAGTCCATTAACCCACCCACCCCCCTCTTCCCCCCGGAGCAAACAGAGGTGCTTTGCTGAAAACAGCTTCATCCTAGCTTTTGGTCAGGTGTCCGTTATGGACCAGCCTCCTGCCCTCATCTGCACAATGCAAAGCACAGGCGCTTGGATACTTGCCCAAATCACTCCTCTTGCAGAGGCCTTGTTTGGAACCGCAGATTCACATGGCAGGAGGGCCCGCTGCTGTCCTGCCATGCGGCGTTAGCTGACAGGCCTGTAATGCTTGCAAATATCTTGTGAAACCAATTGCCTTGGCTCTCCCTCGTAGGTTCATCCTGCAGGACCTGGCTGTGATACACCCAAGCCCCATGCTTTGACTCATGGTACATTGCATGCGCCTGCAAACCATCAAATATGCCACTCAAGCGCATTGCGTTTGGTTGCCGTTTTTGTTGTTCATTTGCAGGAGCTGGCTTTGAAGCACCTCAGCCCCATACGACGACCCATTCTACACTGCATCCGTCTTTTAAAATCACCAAACGATGACGAGAATTTCTGTGCTTTCCCGCACGCAGGTTCATCCTGCAGGAGCCGACTGTGACATATTCATGCTTGCACGCATCGCATGCGTGCGCCAAAGAAATAACCATGATACTGAGAGCACCTGCATTTGCTCGATCGCGCAGGTTCACCCTGCAGGACCCAACTGTGAAGCATCTCATCCCCACGCACTCCTCCCACGGTACACCGCACTCGTCTTTTAAGAATCTGCAAATGTGATTTTAATCTGTCTGTTTTCTCGCTGCCGCAGGTTCATCCTGCAGGATTTGGCGGCGGTAGACCGTGCGGTGACGCCATGGGTGGTAGTCAACATGCACCGCCCCATCTACACCTCATCGACTGCCGGTGTCGGCCCCACATCGGTCATCCGCGTGGCCGAAGACCTGCGCGCCGCCCTCGAGCCCATCTTCATGCTTTACCAGGTGCGCCTATTCTGTCTCTTGCTCCTGGAGCTTTCTGGATTTGCAGATGAGAGGCTGCCGGAGGTCCTTGACAAACACGGTGTGCCGGCTGTTGGCGCTGCCGTGGATATCCTGCGCAAGATGTGCGCAAGTGGATACTGTCTAGTCCTCAAGATCTGTCCTGATTGCAAGCCTTGTGGCTGCCCTGTTAGAGCCCATCTTCATGCTCAACCAGGTGTGCCCATTTTCCCGCTGAGCAATACATTCCTAGTAGCCTTCTGGGTATTGTGAAGGCTCCAGTCTTAAGATGGTTCCTCTTTTCGCGGCACATTCTTTGGAGCCCATCTTAGTGCTCTGCCAGGTGCGCGAAGAGGACTTTTCACTGGATGACGATAAGAATAAAACTAATGCTTTTCCAAAAGGGGCTTGAAGCCCCTGAGATTGCAAGTAGCCGGCTGCGGGGCAGAAGGCGACCAGGCGTGTAAGGGGTGAGAAAAAATAAGGCAATGTTTTGCTGTGTAATTATGTGGCCTTTGTGCTTCTCTGCAAGTGCTTGCCTGGAGCCCGTTTTTATACGTTACCAGGCTTTGTTGAGTTCACATTGTGCCTGTGGTCTCCAAGAAGGGTCAGCTAAGCCTATTACTTTCATCAATCTCATCAAGATTACCATATTCGATGCATCTGATAAGGCATGGCATCTCCGCTGTTGTTGGCATCAGATGGTTCAGAACTTACCACACCTCAATTCAGATAGAGTACAAGTCAGATTGCTTAATGCCTGCATGGGTCAAGGAATTTTGCAGCACATGCAGCGTTTCGTGGGCAGCGTTCTGATCTTGTTGGGGGTTGATAAGGCATGTGAGCGGTGCTGTACAGGTGGACTTGACACTGGCGGGGCATGACCACAAGTATGAGCGCACCTGCTCCGTCTACAAGAAGACCTGCCTGCAGGCGCGTGACGCTCCTCCAAATTTCTTTACTATTTTTGCGCACATGGACTCATCACGTCCTCATTTGGCTTGTTCTATGGTATCCCCTTTTGCTTGTGGCAACCCTATGATACAGTTGGCAGTCCGATTGCCGATGCATGCTTCTCATGCTGCATGCACCGCTATGACATGCAGCTGAGAAGCACCTAATACAGAGGTATCTCTTCAAGACTGCATTGTGCGTCTGGCGCTTCCGCTATTCTGGAAACAGTTTGGTGACTGCGCTGTACCCCTGTCCCCTGCAGCATGATGGCGACGGCCCTTCAGCGGCCCGAAGCACATGATGACAGGGAACACTGTTTTCAGCCGAGCGGCCAATCCACGGCTTTCTTGCATGCGAGCACAATTCAGTCATGCCTTCTAACATTTATTTCCGCCCCCGCAGCACGACAGCAACGGGACTTTGAGCGGTCCGACGCATGTGGTGATAGGGAACGCCGGGTACAAGCTGAGCTGGGCGGCGAATCCGCGGCCGCCACCATATTGGGCCACGGTGGCGCTCGACCACGGATTCCTGCGCTGCGACGTCAACGCCACGCTGTTCTATTGCGAGGTGAGCGCTGACCAATTGCCTGTACATTGCTTAAATACAACTCTAAATCGTGGGATCAGTGAGTATGACCACTTGGTAAAGCACATGCTCCTGCCTTGTATGGTGTCTTTGGTGCTGGCACGGAGGAGCTTCCTGCACTCATGCAGTGCATTGCATTGCAGCTCTTCCTCGCTCGATAGACCAAACCGAACTATGGTACCTGCTCATGCCCCCTGCATGTGTAGACGAGCTTGTTTGTGTGACGGCTCTGCGAGAAACGGTAGCAGCATCAGCACCAGACGTGCATGCATGCAAGGCTCAATAATAGGTCTGTGGACATAGCTAAAGTCTGGCTCATTCTAGCCCTTGCGAGCGGCAACAGTGAATTGCGCTCTCGAGAAGCACGACCACACTGACAGCATTTTCTTCTGCGCCCCCGCAGGAGGTGAGTTCGATGACCGGCAAGCTGCTGGACTCATTCTCGCTGTTCAAGCCGGCGGAGTGGGAGGCGGACTACGTTGTGCGCAACCTCTTTGAGCAGTACTTCATCTCCAACTACTCCTCCTTCGACTTTCTCGAAGACACCGGTGCGCGCTGCCTCTTGCATCTTGAAGCAGGCCCGGAGGTCGCACTTGAAAAGAGCTGTCAGTCTGGTGTTGAACTTGTGGTCCATAGACATGATCTTTTATCCCCGCCTCTAGCTGCATCGACAGGGCACTCTCAAACAAAGACAGGACTCACAAGTCCCTTGGCGTCGCAAGCCTCAAAGTTCGCTGTGTTGCTGTGAATCTGAAGTAACATTAATTCTGCCAGATCAAGGAAGATCTGTACCCTCCTGGGGCGCAAGTGGCTTCCTTTTACAGGCACTTCTGAGACCCATCTTGCAAGGCTATAATTGAGAGAAGACCAAAGTGATGGGAAATACACTAAATACTTCTATCTATTGCAGGCATTCCGAGCGAGGGGTATGCGACGGTGTACGAGCCGATATTCAAGGCCCTGGAGCGCGACACGCGGCTGCTGCAGCTCTACGTCCTCAACAACAACTCTGCCGCCCTCAAGAACTCAGTCAACGGGGCAGACACTGTCCAGGTCAGGACCTCCCTTGCTCCTGCATGCTCGGCCTTGCCAGGCCTTTGCACCCGGGCCTTGCAAGCAGCCAGCTCTTCAGCTGCGTTGTCAGTGTGAAGCTCCAAGTGAGAATTCTAGTGGGAAATTTGGCCTTAGAGCAGTCAGAGCAGGAAGTAAAACTCATTATACCGCCTTGTCAGATATGTGTCACATGCAGCAGTACAATGACTTGTGCAAGAGTGTTTGGAAAAACTTTTTACCATTTGTAAGTGACAAGTGGATCTTACGGACGGATCATGCCCGCGGCAATACAGCTGAGATGCATGCGTGACATGCTGCAGGATGCTTGGGGAGCGATACAGCCGATCTACAACATAACGGTGGCGATTGCGAATCACCGCAACTCATCTATCTACACCCGTTTCTACGCCGGCAAAGCCGTGCTGCCGATCTTTGACAACGTGCGTTCAGCCGCCGCTGCGTACCCGGCCCGTAACGGAGTGATCGTGCAGAGAACGCCCCAGGAGATGGGCGCCGGGCATCGTGCGCCTGCTTTGGCCGACCCGTGACTCACCGCTTGATTTTGAATTCGAATGCCCCGGTGCTTGATTTTGAAATCGAATGCGCCGGTGGCAAGCCCGGCGCCAGGCCGGCTGGACCATGCATGAGCAGCAGGATTTATATTCCAGGGGATCCCGGGGGTTTGGGCTCGTGCTTTTGGGTTCTGGGTTGGAATATTGGTCCGATCAGAAGTCCTGTCAACATTGCCTGCGAACTTTAGTGGGCACCTCAAAAATCCCCGGGGTTTCCTATAGACATAAAGAAGGGTTCTCTTGGCGACTCTGGATCTCTATTGAGGCCTTGTCAAAGCCTGTCTGGGTTGAAGAACAGTGGTCTGTACTGCTTGACAGACCTGTGATTGTTGGTTTGGGAGGGGAAAAGTCAAGACAGAACACAAGATACACCAGGCGAATTGTCTGCCTCAAGCACTGCTTTGAAGTATAGAGTCTGCAGATGGGGAGTTTCTGCACTGTCAAATGCATGTTGTACTTTAACCAACAAATGAATTTAGTGGGTTGTGGACCGTACATAAGTACAAATGACTGTTCGGTGGGTTGACTTGTATGTGTCGACTGTTCTGATATTTAGGTGTTCATGACTGCTTGGCCCTCTGGAATGTTTGAATACCTTAGGCGGCTTGTAGGTAGCACCCGTGCAACACTTCTTTGACCTTGATTACCCCTAGTATTGCTGACAGTACTTAGCAGATTTGTATGTGACCAAGTGCTAGCATGCTATGTATCACATGATGTCTACTGCTTGTCAAGCCTGTGCCGCACTCCGTGGTGTAATTTCAAGTGAAATAGCAACTTGTGCAAGTAGCATGCTTGAAGCAATCCTCAATCATCGAGTCGTGTCAGGGGATATACATGTACACTCGGCTTTCTTGTGCGCGCAGGTGTGTGGTGCAGCTGTCCTTGCTGGGCTACATGCTGGTGCCACCTTCAGATACAGCTGTGCTGCTGCTAAATATATATGGCTAGCTAGGCATAGCAAGCTCGGGAGAAGCAGTGCACAAGGAGAGCAGTGCACACCTTCAGATACAGCAGGTGCTGCTGGGCAAGCCTACCTTGTTGCAAGGCATGGGCTGCTGCGCAGCTGGGCAAGCCCATGCCTTGCACTAAGGTAGGCTTCAAGGAATTCCTTTGGACACCTCACGCTCACCATACAAGCTCAGGAGGGCTGAACATTGCAGCAGTATGGGAGGTCGCGATGGACCACGTTGAGGAATCAACTTTGAAGTTGGAAGGGGGCCATGTGGGGAGGTGACGGGGAAACGCATCTCCGAAACGAAACCCTTGTCACTCGTGACGTCCCTCGGATGCCTGATGAGGGCAGCGAGCAACATTTCTGATGGCAAGAATGTGAACGATTTTCCTCAGAATGCGATCGACAGGCCCTGATCAGTCAAGCAGTGAGCGCAGCCTAAACTAGGGAACGAGCGCTGGGATGGCACTTGCCTCAAGGCACAGCGGCTCAAAACATCGCAATGCGAGCTTCAAGTAGGCCCTCATACTTCGCTTTCCATCATTTTTCGCAAGACACACCTGAGAGTGACTCTTGCATTTGGGGAGATGTCACAATCCATGGTCTCAAAAGACTGCAGATGTGAAGGTGGTGTTGTAATTTGTCCATGCATTCCGAATGAATAGTGTATCTGGTTGTTGCAGGGACCTTGGGATCGATTTCCCCCTGACATCGGACGCCTATGAGCTCGAAAGCAAGATCGGCACAGGGGGTTCTGCAACGGTACGTATTACTATTTGTTGCTCCAGTTGCAATGCAATGAGACCCTTTTACTGATCACATTCTGCAAATTTCATATTGCCTCGTCAAGCGTTAGGCAATCAATAAAGCGTCGAGTATCCATCGCTCGCACTGGGCCCTTCCAGGTGTGGCGAGCTCGATGCAAACCCCTGCAGACGACGGTGGCCGTCAAGCTCGTGGAGCTTGAGGAGCTGCAGACAGCGCTGGAGCTCCTGATCAAGGAGGCTCACACCATGATGAGCCTGAGGCATCCCAACGTGCTGCACCTTCATGGCAGCTTCATCTCTGGCGAGACCCTCTGGCTGGTCATGCCCTTCATCTCAGGGGGATCCCTTTCAGACGTCCTGCGCACACAGGTGTGCAATTGCGCGGCACTTACTTCTGTGTGCATGCTGCATCCATGCTGCGTTCTATCCCCAACAGAATGGCTTGCCAATCGATCCAAATGATACAGTCGATGTGGGGCCCACCCCACAATTTGTAGCCCACTGAATAGTGCTGGCAATTACCTGAATATGCCAAGAGCAACTTGAGGCTGATTGGCGCCCTCCTTGTGCTGTTGAACACATGCTGGGTATCCCGTTGTGGATTCCATCCAGCATGTGTTGTACGAATCTAGCTTGAATGGTGTCCTGATGGGGTTCATCGTCACTGGCCTAAACCATAGTTGCCATTTCGGTTTTGACATGGATCTTTGAAGGCTTATAACCCTGTTACAGTTCCACAAAGCTTATTTATGCGGCGTGTCGAGAGATGCTCTTGACGAGATCTGTTAATTGGTACCCTTCAACACGGCTGTGACTCGATATTTCGAAATTGACACGCGTGTCGACACGCCGTGTCGGCCTTTATTGGTGCCGTGTCGTGCAACTGTGGCTTAAAAATGGTGGGTGGAATATCTGCAGTTCCCTGGGGGAATGGAAGAGGCGCTCATCATCACAATTGCTCGTGATGTGCTTCGCGGATTGGAATATCTGCACAGGCACGAGCTGGCGCACCGAGACTTGAAGGTATGAACATTTGTCTAGTCCCCGCTATATCTCTCCATCTGCACTCTTACCATCGTCTGCATGTACGCCAATAAGAAGGTGGAGCTTCTCGGTAGCTGCGCGCTTGCTCTTTGAAATGAGAACCTAGTCAAGCACTGTAAGCAAGGGGAGCCTGAGCTAGCAGTGTGAGCGAGAACAGCTGTGAGTCTTCATTCTAGAGTCTCCATTCCAACTGAACAGGGCTGTTCATCCTAGTAGGGCCAAAGCATGGACATGCAATGCCCTCCAGCTCACTTGGCATCAAACCTCACAGAGCCTGAGAACCTCATGTCTTCAAAATTTGAAGTTACATTTGCAAATTTTTGAAATTTGAATTTAAAGTTCGGAATTGGTGCCAGGCGGACAACTTGCTGATCCACGAGGAGGGCCGGATTCTGCTGGCAGACTTTGGGGCCACGGCAAAATTGGAGCGCATCGAGTTCTCTGGGCCGTTTGGGGCGTCCAATGCCAGCCTGGCGTCCATCGCTGAGTCACCCGATGCCAGCGTTCACTCTTCCACCGCCTCCGGCAGCGAAGGGTCAACCCCCCTGGTATGCTGCTATAATCTTCCCTACTTCCATTTAGCGCACCAACCGATCACAGGACATAACTCGTATCCTGTATTCTGTGTTCTTTGAAGCGATTAAGGCAACGCTCACATGTCCTCACAGTAGACCACTGATCGGCCTTCTAACCATGCCTTGCCTCACATGCAAACAGAGCCTTTGGGGAAGTGTGAAGTACTGAACACCAATTTCTTTACCCCTGAGAGGACAGAAAGCTGTTGTTCATGCTGTTATCATGGAGCAATTTTCATCACCAGGCAGGCCACTCTTCTTTAAAATGCTAACATGGCGCCATACATGCACCCTTCTTCTATGTTTTCAGGGTCCTTGTGTGCGTCACATGGCCTGGCATTGCCCTGTTGCCACGACCTCGTGAATGAAAGCTTAAAAAGATGCGAGACAAGATCGTGACAAGATCATATTGCAGCAGAGGTTGGCATCCAGTGCGTCTTCGTGGTCTCGGTATCTGTCGCGGCAGACATTCGTGGGGACGCCGAATTACATGGCGCCGGAGGTTATGCTGCAGACCGACGAGGGGTGCGCCAATTTGAATTCGAATTCGCAACCTGCTGTGCATGCTTTGCTGAAAACCTGACCCTGTTGCGCATGCTTTGCTGTGACCCTCAACCTGCGGTGCATGCCAAGAACCGGAAACCAGCAATTTTGATCGGGATCTGGTCTCTCGAAGACACTTGGATAGCCATTGTGCCAGAATGATTCAAACAATCCATGTCGTTTGAACACATATCCAATCAAGTCTGCTGGCTGCGGCGTACCTCATGGGATTCACACATGCACCTGTCCACACAACATAAGATTGCACTGTCGCTCATCAATGATGCAACTTTACTCTGCGCTCAAGTTGACTGATAACTGTCGGCTGACTGGACAGGTACAACCAGTCGGCGGACATTTGGTCGTTTGGCATAGTCTTGCTGGAGCTGGCTCGCGGGAAAGTGCCGCTGCAGAACTGCTCCTTCACCAAAATCATCATCGATACCGTGCATGGCCCAGCCCCCTGCCTCGATAGCGATAGCGGCCACCAGAAATTTTCCAAGGTGCGATTCGAACTCTTGTCCTAACTGCTACATAGCTACCTCTATTTCCTTGATCACACCTCAGACCTCAAAGGTACACGCTTCCTTTCTTCATTCTATTTTGTCGTTTTACTGCTTGAAGATTGCCAAAGGGCTCCTCTGTGCTTTCTTTCAAGCATGGTGGCGCTCTGTTCTTGTCAGTTCTGGAGATTTGGAGCCTTTCACAACATTCCTGCTTGTTGCTAGCACCTTGAACGCTGGTTAACCTTGGATAGTAAATGACAGCTCGGCTCCTGCCACACCCTCGTCTAGCTGACGAAATTGCAATTCATGCATGGAGAACATTGCACAGTGGAACACTCAGCCAGGCTAGTCAGCATGTTGCAAGAGTTCAGATGACAAACTTCGATATCCCCAAACTTGAATCTCCCCATGCATGCAGGGTCTGTGCAAGCTGGTGGCGCGATGTCTCAACAAGGACGCGGACACTCGGCCCACAGCATCCGAGCTCCTGAAGGACCCGATCTTCAAGCAAGCCCACGACGGCAAGTGGCTGGCGAAGCGGCTGTTCGGCGCGGCCGACAAATTGAGCGGCGGCGATAAATCCAGGCGGGTCACTTTCAAGGATGGGAGAGAGGGAACCCCGCCTGGCAGCGTGTCACCCCGCCAGCACAGCACCACCCCGGTGAGCCCTTTCTGCAATGGGCAAGGGATATCAGGTTTTGACACGGAATGGCCCAATTTTCGGGGCCGCCCCCTACTTGCGCCGCGATGGCTTCTGGCTTAATCTGCCATTTCACCGGGGTCTCAGCCGCAGTCTTTGGCGTGTTGCATAGTTTTTTGCGTGGGGGCTTTTTCAACTCAGGTGTTCGCTTTTAATTCCTATATCACACAAAGTCACCGGGAGATACGAGAGAGGTTTTCGTAGAATACAGGGTGTATCCACCCCCTGACGATGGTTGTTGCGCCTGTTATGGCCGGGCATGGCGCCTATTAAGAGCTGTAGGCCGTGGATGCTCTGTAGGCTCTTCATGTCAGGGGTGACACCCTGGCATCCATTGTTGCATAGCTGTAGCTCAGGAGTGCTAGCAATCGCCTCAATATACTCATTGTCAGCAGTGAATGCGCACCCAATGTGCATCGACTGATCATGAAGGCTGATCAGGTGCCAGATTCTTTACGTACACGTTGTTCTCCCTTAGTGTGTCGTCTTCAGTGTGTACTTCCTTTGAAATCTGCATAAAGACACCAATACATTGTTAAGCTGCAGGCTCTCACTTGATCCTTGTGGACATCGACGCTGACATCAGGCAAGAAGAAAATATTATGATTGCAACAAGCTCAACGCACCACGCCATTGGCGATTGTGCAACCATTGGTACTGATGGAGGAGCTCTGCGAGTCTGACATCCTTGTGTGTGGCTGTGTGTGGCTGTGTGTTAGCAGACCTACCGCACGATGCCCACCAAGTCGCTCTTCGCGCGCGCCAGCAGCAAAACTGTGAACGACGTGGCGGACGCGGATGCCAATAGGCACCGGCTCGTGCACCACCTTGCGTGGGCGTTTGACCATTGCGGCCGCCCCTACATAATGGTCTACGAGCTCTCGCAGTGGTGAGCAATTTGGGAACCTCTCTTTGAGTGTGCATCGTGGTTGGCGCATATGGCCCCTCTTCTGTTGCTTGTTGATTACGGCTTTGCAATTTGCATGGGTGGAGGGGTGAGTGAAACATTAGCAGGCATGAAAGCTACATAATGGTCTACGAACTCTCGCAGTGGTGTGCCATTTGGTTCTGCTTTCCTCGCAATCTTCCCTCCACTCTTTCACGTTCAGAGCGTTTGACCATGGCGGCAAAAGCTACATAATGGTCTACAAGCTCTCACAATGGTGCGAACCTTAATACTGCTTTCCTCGCATGTGTATCATGTCTGGCGTGTTTGACCCTCCTTCTGTTGCGTGTGTTGAGGGTTGATTTTGAGGGTGCAATTTGCATTGGTGAAGTGATTTTTGAAATAGAGCATGCATGCAAGCTACATCATGGTCTGCTAGATCTCCCAGCGACGCACTTATGCTTCTCCTCTCCTTGCATAGTTTCCGAGCCACCTGTTTTACCTGTTCTGTGTTGCTCGGCTGATTCCTTCTAGGGTCACAAGATTGCCCTCCATATGAGCGGAGGCACTGATGAGCTCTGCGTTTTGTGAAAATTTAAGGCGCTTGTATGTCCAAACAGAAAAGTTCATTCCCACAGCCAAATTCTGGCACCCCTATACAGGTCTTCTTGCACCAAAGAGCATCCACAGAGCGTCTCTATGCTGTGGGATCAAGGCCCTCTGACGCGCTATACTATTGGCGGATGCAGTGTACATCATGCCTTTGAGCCAAATTGCAGGCTATCAGTGACATGGCAGGGGGTACTTTATCTCACTCTTTGTTGGATTATAGGTTCATTACTGTGGTGGGTTTGCTAGGTTACAGTTCACTCGTTTATACAAACCGGTAGATTCCCTGGGCATAGGGCTTTAGGGGTTGATGATGCGCAGGTTTGGCAAGGCGAGGGTGTTTGTGGAGGGGATTGAGGTGATGGTGAAGCGCTACTCCTTCCTGCAGCAGCTCACCTTTTCGCAGGACCACTACAACATCAAAATCGACAACGCTGCTCTCGGCCCGCTGCAAGGCTGCGCCATTTCCATCCGCGTGGCCGCTCAATTAGGCGTCTCCCTCATGGTGCGGATTTGAATTTGAACTCGAATTTGAAAATCAAAGTGATATTCCTGTGAAAATCAAAACGACATTCCTGTCATCTCAAATGAAGTTTCTGCCATCTCCGCGCATCTGGGCGTCTCCCTCATGGTTCGTTTCTGAATTTGAATTTGAATTTTGTTAAATCAAGTTGCTGCCGTAGACCCTTTGGCCCCAGTGTCTCCCGCATGGTGTGGTGCTGTGTTGCTCGCTTTTGACAATGTCAAAATCAGAACTCGCTCCCTAGATGCGATTGGGCAGGAGTATCCCTTCACTTGTCTTTTGTACCATTGTCACAAAACTGAAACTGCCTTGGTGCTCAGGGGACTCTGAAAAAATTATCAAGATCCCTACAGATGCTATGGGTCAAGGTGTCAAAGTGCAGGAATGCCTGTGGGGGTCTGTCATGTTGTTAGTCAGCATTGCAGCATTTAGGTAAGGAGGAATTATCAGGGCATAGAGGTGCTTAGGGTGAGGATTACATCATTCAGTACGAGCAAAGTTGCATGCAGGGTCTGGCCAAGCTGAATGATTGGGACCTAGGATATCTTTCCACTTTGCGCAGACCTTCAAAAATTGCAGGATTCTGCAGCAGAGTATCATGATCGAGGGGTTTTGAGGGTCAATCACTCAGGGCCGAGATAATGAAAGCTGCTTGCAGGGCGTGGCAAAGCTCAATGACAAAGATCTGCCGCTGCCAATTTACTGCGAGCGCGAGAGCCTACGCAGCGCTGCTTCCGGCCTCACTGCAAAGTCTGACGTGCGCATCATGACCCCTTCTTTTCTATACATATCCCTTTCAAACCAGAGCTTTGTCAGCCCAAGCCGATGTATCAGGCTTCACGCAGGGCACATATGTGTAGCAATCCATGCTTGCCGGCTCAAACGTCTGCTATCTTCATGTGGATAGGTGGTCGCGCCTGCAGGAACAACTGCTGTGCATGTGCTGGGCCAGACATGCATCGCAGGAGACATATTGTCACTGCTTCCAGACAGGCACGACACATCATGGCATCATTTCGCCAGCTAAAACTTGGAGATTTGTCGCCTCCTCTGAATTGTGCAAGTTGCATGTGCAGGACTCGTCCTCGTCAGCGTCCCACAGCCCGCTGAGCATTCTGGAGGTGCGGCCCTCGTCCAGCAGTGAGAGCATCGCCTCGCTGTCAGCCAATGCAGCCGATGCCGGTGCGGGTGCAGAAGCACCGGCCGCGTCTGAGGCCCAATTAGTCAGGGAGTCTCTGCAAAAGGTGTCCCTTTCGTCCATACCAGAGGTGCGTCTCCGCTTATTCTTCTGCTCCACTCCAAAACGTGGCATATCTTCAGCAATGCACACGGTGTGGTTACAAATTGAAAAAGTGAAGGGTCAGGCCTCCCATGCATGCTTGCGTCTTGCTGCTCTTTGGTGCGCCTCAGCCAATTATCTTTTGCTCCTGCTCAATATATGGTAAGTCTTCAACAGTTACCACTGTGTCTGTCAAGAATTCAAGGCTAGAGTAATAAGGCTTGCAGAGGTGTGGCATGCTGCGTGCTGCTTGCTGCTCTTGGGCCTGCCTTCACTTTAGCATGCTTCTATGAAGTCTTTGCACACATTCCTCTCTGTGCAGTATGTGGACTGTGTGTAGAAGTTCACTGTGTGTAGAAGTTCTTGAAGATGCATACTTATGTGAAGACGCATTCAGAAGGTGGCCACCCTCCAATTGATTTTGCAAGAGCAGGACTGAAGCATGCTCTGGGGTTGCGTGCAGACTTCGATAGCAGAGTCACCACCGCTTCCTGATTCTCTGACAAGCATGCCGTCTCCCTTTGAGGCGTTCGCCGCGCAGCAACCCGGCGAGTCATGCCCGGTGCCGGGGTCCCCCGGCTCTAGCACAGCGGCCGCCAGCTCAGCACATGACAGCTCAGCGCATGACAGCGCGGTGACGCTAGGCGCCGCGTTCCGCGCCGCGGAGTTTACGGAGGCCTCGCTCTACGGAACGCCGTTGGCAGCGGCGACGGCGCCTGATCTGGCAGCGGCTGCCGTGCCTGATCAGGCATCAGCACCAAACCCAGGACGGCCAGTACCGCCAAATCAGGCTGCTGGTCCAAAACAGGCTGAGGGGCCGAATGATGCAAGGGGCTCAGATCAGGTGGCAGGGTCAAACCAGGGGGAGACGCCTGGCGGGAGCAGAGGGCAAACAGAGGACAGAGGAGGGGCGGGGGGGTTCGCAGCGGGCGTTGCGGGCGGTGCTGCTGTCCTGCATGTGGCCAATCAGGTAAAATTATTGCAATTTGGCAACAGGCATGCAACAAATGGTTCTCTGTGATGCTTTGCTGAGTGCCGTTTGATGGCTGGAGTAACCACTCCTTAGTGTTTTCCAATATTGACATATCCTGAGATGTAAGCTGCGAAAGGCCTATTGCCTTGCGGGTGTTGCGCAGCTTTGTCAACAGACCACCATGCCCCCAAGCAGCACATAAGAAAGAGCACATTTTCATCTGCAGGACGAGTCAGACCTGGACATGCGGATACGGCTGGCAGTGGAGCGCAGCGTCAGCGCTGAGGTGGCGAGGCTGCGGCTGGAGTTTACTAAGCGGGAGCAGATGCTCATGACGGCTGTCATGGGTCACTCTGAGCGCGAGAGGGAACTCCACGAACGGCTGCGCGCCCTCGAGAAGCTGGTGGCAGCTGCGCATGTCAAGCCCGGCCTCGCCCACGAGGCCTGATGTTTAGGCAGCAGAGAAAAGCTTAAGCAAGCGCAAAGATAAGCTCCCGGGTTTTTTGCAGCTTGCAGCACAGTGCTTCTGAGACTCCACGATTGAGTGTGCACCCTCAGAAAGCCGGTGGCAGCT